TTTTGATAGGGATTGCACTGAACGTGTAGATTGCTCTGGGTAGCTATACACATTGTAACAATATTTGTTCTTCCAATACATGAACATGGAACACTTTTCCATTTCTTTGCATTTTCCTCAGTTTCTCTCAGAAGTGATTTAGTTTTCAGAGCACAGATCTTTTACCTCTTTGGTTAGGTTTATTCTTACCTACCTCTTATTGTTTTGGGTGCAATTGAAAGAAGGATCAATTCCTTGGTTTTACTTTCTGTTGCTTCATTATTGGTGTACAGAAATGCAACAGACTTCTGTGTGTTGATTTTTTATCCTGTATCTTTGCTGAATTCCTATATCAGTTCCAGTAATTTTTTAGTGAAGTCTTTCGGGTTTTCTACCTAGAGTATAATGTTGCCTGTGAAGAGTGAAAATTTGACTTCTTCCTTGCCGATTTGCATGCCTTCTTTCTTTTTGTTGTCTGAATGTTGAGGCTAGTACTTCCAGTACTATGTTGGACAGCAGAAAGTCGACATACCTATTGTGTTCCTGACATTAGGGGAAGCGCTCTCAGTTTTTCCCCATTGAGGACAATATTAGCTGTGTGTCTTTCATATATGGCCTTTATAATGTTGAAGTATGTTCCCTCTATCCCTACATTATGGAGGATTTTTATCAAGAAAGGATGCTGTATTTTGTCAAATGCTTTTTCTGCGTCCATTGAGAGGATCATATTGTTCTTATCCTTCCTTTTGTTAATTAATTTGTTCATTAATTTGCAGTTGTTGAACCACCTCTCAGCCCAGAAATAAATCCCACTTGGTCATGGTGAATAATCCTTTTAATGTGCTATTGGATCTGATTGGATTTTTGCATCCATGTTCATCAAGGATATTGGTCTGTAATTCTTTTTAGTGGAGTCTTCTTTGCCTGGTTTCGGGATCAAGGTACTGCTGGCCTCAAGGAAAGAGTTTGGAAGTTTTCCTTCCCTTTCTATTTTTTGGAACAGTTTCAGAAGAGTGAGTATTAATTCTTTAAATGTTTGGTAGAATTCCCCTGGGAAGCCATACAGCCCTGGATTCTTGTTTGTTGGGAGAGTTTTGATTACTGATTCAATTTATTTCCTGGTTATGGGTCTGTTCAGGTTTTCTGTTTCTTCCTATTTCACTTTTGGTAGTTTATATGTTTCCAGGAACTTACCCATTTCTTCCAGATTGTTTAATGTGTTGGCATATAATTGCTCATAATATTCTTTTATAACTGTATTTCTTTGGTGTTGGTTGTGACATCTCCTCTTTCAATCATGTTTTTGTTTATTTGGGTCCTTTCTCTCTCCCTCCCTCCCTCTCTCTCTCTCTCTCTTCCCTACCCCCCACCCCACCTTCTATTTTTTTGGTAAGTGTGGCTAGAGGTTTATTAATCTTGTTGATTCTTTCAAAGAATCAGCTCCTAGTTTCATTGATTGTTCTACTGTGGGGTTGTTGTTTTTTTTTTAATCATTGATTTCTGCTCTAATCTATATTATTTCCCTTCCCTTCTCCTGCTGGATTTAGGCTTTATTTGCTTTCATCTACCTCCTTCAGGTAGAAGGGTAGGTTGTGTATTTGTGTATTTTCTTGCTTCTTTAGGAAGGCCTAGATTGCAAAATACTTCCCTCTTAGGACTGCCTTTGCTGCATCCCCAAGGTTTTAGAGTTTCTTATAAGAGACCCATCATATTGATGGGTCTTGTTTTTTAATCCATTCTGATACCCTGTGTCTTTTGATTGGAGCATTTGGTCCATTTACACTGAGTAATTACTGAAAGATATGAATTAAGTGCCATTGTATAATCTGTAAAGTTGCTGTTCTGTAGATCTTCTCTGTTTCTTTCTAGTCTTTTGATTTCTCTTTCCTGCTCAAAGAGTCCCCTTTAATATTTCTTACAGAGCTAGTTTAGTTTTCATGAACTCTGTTAATTGTTGTTTGTCTTGGAAACTCCTCATTTCTCCTTCTATACTGAATGATAGTATAAAGTATTCTTGGTTGCATATTTTTCCCATTTAGCATGCTGAATATATCATGTCAGTCCTTTCTGGCCTGTCAGGTCTCTGTGGCCAGGTCTGCTGCCAGCCTTGTGTTGCTACCATTATAAGTTTAGAACCATTTTCCCCTAACTGCTTTCAGAATTCTCTATCTTTGTATTTTGCAAGTTTCACTATGATATTCATGCTGTTGACCTGTTTTTGTTGATTTTGAGGGCAGTTCTCTGTACCTCTTGGACTTGAATGCCTCTTTTTCCCTTGATTAGGGAAGTTCTCAGCTATAATTTCTTCAAATAAGCCTTTTGACCTTCTGACCCTTTCCCTGCTTTTCTTCTGTGACTCCTATGATACGGGTATTATTTTTCTTTGGGGAATCACTGAGTTCCCTGAGTCTACCTTTGTGATGTAATAGTTTTCTTTCCCTCTTCTTTTCAGTTTCATTATTTTCCATAATTTTACCCTCTATATCACCTGTTCTCCTCACTGCCTCTTCAATCCTCATTGTGATTATATTCAGTCTGCATCTCAGTTACAGCATTTTTTAATTTCAGGCTGACTAGTTTTTAGGTCTTTTATCTCAGCAACAAGGGTTTCTGGGGTGTCTTCTATGCTTCTTTCAAGCCAGCTAGTAGTTTTATGACTACTTTTGATCTAAATTCTTGTTTAGATATATTGCTTATATCTGCTTTGAGCAAGTCCCTAGCTATGATATCTTTCTGACCTTTCTTATGGGGAGAATTCCTCCATCTTGTCATTTTTGCTAACTTTCTATCTTTTGCATGTTATGAAAGCTTGTTATGTTTCCTGCACCTCAGAGTAATGCTATATTAAAAAGTGGTCATACACTGTCCAGGGCCTGCACTTCAGGAAGTGTTCTGGTGTATTCTGTGTGCACTCAGCTATTGGGTTTTGGCTGTTCTTTCCCACTGGTCTGTACTCTGCAGCGCTCCTCCTTGCCTATAGTGGGGAGTGTTTGGAACTTTATCTAGATGTGCTTTGATTCGTTTCTAGAAAAAAGCATGGAAAAAAAGCAAAAAAAAAAAAATGCAATCAAAAACAAAAAACAAAAAACTGTAAGCCTGATTCCAAAGGAGGAAAACAAAAAAGAAGAAAAAGTAAAAAAGAGGCCTGATAAAAAAAAAAGAAAGAAAGAAAGAAAAAGAAAGAAAGAGAGAAAGAAAGAAAGAAAGAAAGAAAGAAAGAAAGAAAGAAAGAAAGAAAGAAAGAAAGAAAGAAAGAAAAGTGATTGGGGGAGGAAATGAAAAAACAAACAAAGAACTATAAGCCTGATTCCAAAGGGGGGAAAAAAAATAAGGGGGGAAAAATACAGCCTTGGTCCTATTTCCACCAGAACCGAAGGGGGCGCTGTGAGGCACTGTATGATCAGTAGACTCGGGGCACGTGGCATGCTGCCAGTGTTGCTCTTCTGGGTGAGAAGTGCCCTGTGCTGGCTCAAAGTCACTCCTGCCCAGGTGAATAAACACTTGCCAAGCACAGCAGGGCAGGCTTTGGTTTAAGCGGCTCCCACCTCTACTAGGGGCTGCTGTGTTGCTCTCTGAGGTCCAATCCTGTGTGTAGTGAGGATAACATGGTGCAACCCTGCTCTCTCATCCAGAGAGACAGGAAATCTCACACTCCTTGCTCTTCAGAAGCTCTCACAGAACTTTCTACTAAAGGCCTTCATCATGCCTGGCACCACCGCTCTCCCTGCCCTTTATATTTAGTGTGGCTGGGATTCAAAATTTCAAATCTTTAAGGAGTGGGCACCAGTTGGATCTGCTCCCTCCTCTGGGTTAGAGTCTTGCTGCTCTCTGACTAGTGCCCTTTGTCCCACAAAAACAGTCCCATGCCTGCATGGTGGACAGATTCTATGCTGTGGCACCACAAAGAGCAGTGACTGGGTTATCTACCCTCTGCACACACCTTTGTCCCCTCCCGATGAAAGGCTGTGTTTGTTGGCGCATGATGGGTCTTTCGTCCTTTGAGAGGCAATATGCCCTCCTCCAAATGTATTCCAGGAATGGTAATGATCTCTCTGCCAGTGCGACCCAGGAGATCCCTGCACCACTTTGTGCGTGCTCTGAACCAGAGCCCTCCTCTCCAGGATCGCAGGCCACAGCTCTGCTCTGGTGAAAGTCACACACTTCCAGAACCTGAGTTTTGCATAAAACCTGTGACACTCAGTTCCCGTCTCCCCAGTCTGGGATCCGAGAGATTTCCTTCTTGTGCAAACCCAACACCGCACAATCTCAACATCCACCCCACCCCTGCCTCCTATTTTCTATTTTCCCCTGGAGGAAAGGGCTTCTTCCCTCCATATCTCTGAAGTTCTTATCTTCCCAATTCACTTCTATGCACCTTGCAAGTGCCATGCTATCTCCCTCCAACTACGGAGATCCTCCTTCCAATCCTCAGATGGATTTCTTAGATGTTCCTAGTGACTGAACCTCAGTATAGCAGTGTTTGAGGAGAAGAAAGCCCAGATTCCCCCTACTTCTCCATCTTAACTCTTTCCATAAGGATTTTTTTTTTAAGTTAGTTAATCAGTTAGTTTGCTTATTTATTTATCTTAGAGACAGAGAGCAAGCGCAGGGGAGCAGGAGGAGCAGAGAGAGAGAGACAAGCAGACTTGGTGCTGAGCTGGATCCCATGACCCTGAGATCATGAGCTGAGCTGAAATTAAGAGTCTGACTCTTAACCAGCTGAGCCATCCAGCTGCTCCATGATTTCATTTTTGTAAGTTTTAATCATCTTCTATGAAAACATTCAGTAACAGCATAGGCATCTGTTATAAAAAATAAGATATCAAAAGAAGAAAACACTCAAAAAGAACTACAGAGTGAAACCAATTATTGTGACTTTATTACAATAGTTACAAACAATATTTTAGTTATAATCATATCACAATTACTCAAACTATATACAAATAGGTATTTATATAAGACTACATTTAAAAAAAATGAAAAGGCAATTAATGACCAAAAAAAAAAAAAAAATCACATTATAAACAAGATTTTTTTCTAAAAGTTATGGCCAATAACAAAAATTCACAGTTACTCTGAAAATATTTTAAAGATGCAGGAATCATATTGCACATAATACAATTATAAACCCTACTGAGCAGATTTATATAATCTAGTTTTTCACAAAATGTACATTATCATGCAATATTTCACTGTATATAGAATGGTGGAACTAGAATAAACAGGTTAACTTACAAACTTTCAATATAATGGCCACAAAATTAGAGTTATTTTAAGTTATACTGAAAATAATTTTACTATACAAAAAAAAAAAAAAAAAAAAAAAAAACACTCCAGTGTAATAAAACTTAACAGACACAATCTTAATTTGTTCACAGATCAAGTTACTTTTTTTAGTGTTCTTCTTTGTCTTTTCCTTTCTTTTCCTTTTCATCCTGTAGTGCAGTACCAAGTTTTTTAATAAGAACTGACAGAACCTTGTCAAGGGGGTCCATGACTCCTCTTTGAAGCCATTTAGGAATAGTAGTCCTGGCATGATGAAAGCCCAGTTTTTGAAGAATATAATCAACACCTACTGGATCAATCTTTCTTCCAGTCCAAGAAATTAATCTAAAATTACAATAATAGGTATTAAGGAAGACAGTGTCATAACACAGTCCTGAAGGTAGGTTCAAGAACATCACTAAGCCTCCATAATATGCTCAAGATGGACTATTCTCAGTAGGTGCAATTGAATAATCTGTTATAATTTCTCGATTTTAACAGTATTCAAAAAATGTGATTCTATGTATTCTTGAGAGTCCATGTGTAGCAGTGGAGTTAAGTGAATTTCATTCTGATTATTTTATTTTAGGCCTCTTAAGTTACAGGGTCATCTTGACATTTAAAGAACATCTGGTTCATTCTAAAAGATGTTAACTTGATGGGAGGAATCCTTTTACAGTGTGTACATATATCAAATTATGATACCATCCACTTAAAATATCTTACATGTTTTGTCAATTATACCTCAATAAAGCTGAGAAAAAAAATAAGAGTTCAACATATATGTGGCATAATGGTGGGGGCTAAAAGGCTGAGACTTCCTGAGTTTTTGCTATGTGCTAAACATGTTTGGGAAAAACCATTTTCTTCCATTGCCTTCCACATAAAGGAGCAGCCATTAGTGAAACACGCCTGGTCTTTCTCTGTTCCTGTATTAATATCCTGTATTAATGATTTATCTGATTGGCAAGTTAACTGAGGAACTGGGTTGTGTAGTTCAGTACTCTCTTCCCTACCTTAAGGGCCACTCATTTTGACTACTGCTCCATGCAATAGGTTTCTCAAGGACAGGCTCCTAAATAGGTTAGCCCCAGACTGTTCACAGCTGCCTACAGCTGGCTGAGTTCACAGGGCTGCCAACTGCAGAACTCAAGGTGGGGGAGGGCACACAATTCTGGTGTTCTTCATGATGAAGATCCTGTAGGTAAGTCCAAACCTGGACTCTGTAGTAGAAGGCCATTATTGCCAGATATCCAAACCACATTCTCTGCTATGAGCTTTATCACTATTAAAACTGTCATTTTGATTTCCAGCTGCCTCTCTCTCACTGTTCAATCACTTCTGAACTTGGGCAGGAAAAGAGGGTATGAAGCACTGATCTGCTAAGACTCTACTAGTTATAAGCATTTTGCATTAATTAACTCATTTAACCATTGTAACAACCTTACAAGGTAGGTAATACTGTTTACCAAATTTTTCTTATGAGGCAACTGAAGGAGAAATAGGCTAGGTCCTTTGGCCAAGATCATTCAATTTACTATGCTATCTAGACAACAGGATTTAGAGCTAGAGCTCTTCAACATTCTCTCCACCACTACACCATATTAACTAGTTTCTTAATGGTATGCTTTAAAAAAAAAAGAATGGCAAATTAAACTTTTTATGCTCATTTTAAATTAAAAGATACTTAATTTCATCATAGATTTACAAATACAAAACAAATTTTCTCGGTAGTTTTCTGCATTAGGATATTTGCAATATTTTAATTTTGTTCTGAGTACTGACACTGTTAATACTTCTCATGAGTATATGTATTATTAATTAATACCAAATTTTATTTTATTTTTTAAAAAAATATTTTATTTATTTATCAGAGAGAGAGTGAGAGTACAAGCTGGGGGAGGGGCAGAGGGAGAAGGAGAAGCAGACTCCCTGCTGGTTAGGGAGCCTAATGTGGGGCTTGATCCCAAGACTCTGAGATCATGACTGAGCTGAAGCAGACGCTTAACTAACTTGAGTCATTCAGGTGCCCCCAATACCAAATTTTATTATAAATTATTATCACAAAGTCACTACTTTCTGCTTATACATGAATCCACTGTGTAATGGATATTTGGTTGCTATGGAATTATTCTGTGGCATAAATGTCTGAAATAATAACCTTATCTAAAAGAAATCTGTACTGTTCTGCAGAAATGTGCCAGAGTATGATGGACTTTTTTTTGATACTGTTATTCCATGATTCAGAGAGTTAAAATTTGATTAACAAAGCAGATGAGAGGAAAGGTAAAAATGACAGGAAGGTTGTGAGTGGTAACCATAACAAGGACATACAGTGCAAGTACCACTAGTTACAGCAGCCATTGTAAATGTAATTAAGATTGGAAAATAGTTTGGAAATTTTAATATGAAAATAAGTTGATATAATTGGGATCATGACTGTAGTAGAACAGTCTCTGTAAATGAACCTGAATCTGACAGCATTAAATTCAACATTTCGGGATTGTTGAATTGCTTATTGTTTAGCACGCAGACAGAACAACTCTGTGACACTGTAGGTTCTATTACACTGTTGTAACGTGTGAGAAATTGTAATAATTCCTTAATGATGATGTATGGCTATTATTGTGTCGTCCCTAACTAAGAAACAAAAAAGTTTACTGCAGGTCCCTCAAACACCTGAGAATAATATCCTGGTAAAAAAGATGGTTGGGGCACCTGGGTGGCTTAGTCGGTTAAAGCCTCGCCTTCGGCTCGGGTCGTGATTCCAGGGTCCTGGGATCGAGCCCCACATCGGGCTCTCTGCTCGGCGGGGAGCCTGCTTCCTCCTCTCTCTCTCTCTCTCTCTCTGCCTGCCTCTCTGCCTACTTGTGATCTCTGTCAAATTAATAAAATCTTTAAAAAAAAAAAAAAAGATGGTTAAAAAAAAGTAAGAGCAATGGTGGACGTGGAGTTATTCTCATCTGTTAGTGATTAACTGATGAATGTCACACAGTGGAGAGTGCTGAACTAGTTGTGGTGGCCGTGCTTCTTTTGTGTTGTGCTAGAAGCACTTAAAAAAAGCAGAAAGGAGCAGAAAACATGGCCAGAAGTTAGTGATGTTATAAGTAGCTAACTTCTAAAAACTGTTTTTGGTAAACTGTATATAACTTGCTCCATTATTTATGACCTTTTTCTCATGATAATCCCATAGGATACAGGGAAATATATATATCCACTACTTACCTGAGAGTGGGTTCTAGATGCCATGTGTTGCACATAAAATCTCTCCAGTCCACAGTCGTGTAAGTGATGCTGTCCTCTCTGTCTCTGTCAGAGGAATTGTCATCATGTATAATAATTGGGCTTTTCTGTCCTGGTCGAGTAGATAAAATCCGAGGTGGAAAAATGGCTATAATGAAAATAATAGATTAATATTACAAATAGATATCTTATAAACTTATTTTAAATCACCATATGAACAGTATAATTGGCTCCATTTGTCATTTTACTTATGAACAGGCCAATTAATTACCTTTCTGAAAAACTAGTATTTTAAAATAAGCCATAAATAACTGCCAGTTATTATTATTTCTTAAAGACAATGTCAAAGTTAGCATGTCACTTTTTTTTTGAGGAATAGCATATATTTTACATATATTTGCATGCTTAAAACTAATGGTCAAGAATGCTGAGATTTATTTGATAGCAAGAATGTCTGCAGTGGACATTTTACATATGTAAAATATATGTAAAATATATTTTTATATTTTATATATGTAAAATACATGTAAATATATTTTACATATAATTGCGTGCTTAAAACTAATGGTAAAGACTGCTGAGATTTATTTGATAGCAAAGAATGGCTGCAGGTTGACATTTTTTAGCAATTTTATTGAGATACAATTCGTGTATCATACAGTTCACTCATTTAAAGTGTACTATTCAAGGGCACCTGGGTGGTTCAGATGGTTAAGCATCTACCTTTGGCTCAGATCATGATCACAGGGTCCTGGGACTGAGTCCTGGATCTCTCTCTGTCTTTCTCTGTCTCTCACAAATAAATAAAATCTTTAAAAAAAAAAGTGTACCACTCGATAGTTTTAGGATGTTACTGTCTCTATATATTTGAACACTGGTACTAAATTAGGAACTTTTTATGTAAGCAGTCTTTCACTCTTTATAGTGAATACTCAGATGTTTTAGGAAAGACAAATTCTTTTTAAATTGGTGATCATTATATAAAATTAAAATCAAATCTGAGACAATGTAGCTTTCATTTGGCAAACTTTAATGTATATAGCATTTCTCTCAGAGTAGAGGTTTTCAAGACACAAATTGGGCATAAAATAATAGATAAATTAGGTAATATGACAGGCATTATGTAACTCTGGTTTTAACTTTATCATGAATTAGCAGTAGGGATAACATACTCATTAGGAATGAGCCTGGGAATAAAACTGTCCTTACATTCACATTACATAATAATATAGATGTCTTCAGTTACTGCCTCCTCACAATCACTCTGTTTTTATTTCTGGTAGTTGTTACAGTGCTACAGTATCTTGATGTTCTAGAAATATGTTGATTCTAGTCTAGCCTTACATGCTGTTAAAGATTATTCTCAGGCATGTTTATGCTTATTTTGGTCAAAACTAATTGCTTTTAGTTTTTAATTACAAAATACACTTATAACTATTAAAATATTTTTATTTATAATTGAAATTCCTAAAAACAATAACATTTGGTTATTGTAAATCTGATAATCAATCCTTATTTCCTTTTTTCCATTAAAATAGTGTTATACAAGTTTGATTTTCTACTTTTAAATATAATTTTTATGTAATAAATTAATTTCAGGTGTACAACAAGGTGATTTAGCAAATACATACATTTTGAAATGCTTGCCACGAGAATTATATTAAAATATTACTGATTATATTCCTTATGTTGTATTTTTAATCCCCATGACTTATTTTATAACTGGAAGTTTGTAGCTCTTAATTCCCTTTATCCATTTCGCCCATTTTCCCACTCCTCTCCCCTTCGGCAACCACCAGATTGTCCTCATTGGGTCTGTTTCTCTCTTTTTTGTTGTTGTGCACGAGTTTGTATCTAAAAACAAAGTGCTTTTTTTTTTTTTTTTAAATATGCACAGTTCATGGCAGACCAAAACCAAAACATATTTCACAAAATGACAAAGATTTCACATAATAACTGCAAAAGAAATCTGGCAGATTTTTATATAAACATGGACTAGAAAAGAATTCTGAACTTCACAGGTTTATTCAGAGTCTCTGTTATTTTTCCCACATTAAATTTAAATATTAAGGCACAGAGAAAAACAAGAGGATTACTAGGAACTGGTATATGTTGGTGCTTTAAGTGAAGACTGGATCTAATTATATATAATATTTCCAATTATATGGTTTTAGTCATTTAAGTTTCAACTAATGTCTCACAGATTTCTTCCAGTCATCATTACTGATTTTACTCTCACTGGATTTTTGGCACGTAGATTGAACAGTAATGGAGCAGCAATTCAATCTATGTTATACTACTTTTGCATTGTTTTTTGATAATCTGTTTTCTTCACTTAAACATTCACCATGAGGCCATCTTGAAATACCTGCTAGACAAATTTTGTCTTTTTGCTCATTATGAAAATGAAGTATTATAGGGTGACCTAAACAAATAGCATATATTCCAAGCAATTAAAAAAAAAATCACATCTGCTATTTTACTACTATATATTCATATATTTGTGCAATAAATACTTATTGGGTAAAGACCATATGTTTGGAGACTATTCCATATCATCATATTTCTGACGACTTCATTCTTTTAAATACTACAGAGTATTCCATTCCATTTTATGGACACCAAAATGTATTCAACCAGTTCTATAGGGATATTAAGGTCACCATATGTTTCTTAATGGACAAACATGTAAATTTCCAGGAGATAAACCAGTGTTAGCTAGCTCATAAAAATAAAACACCACCACTGAAGTCCAAATTATTTATTTATGAAAAGATAATGTTTTCTGCATTCTAAACAAATTTATTTACTTACTTAATTCTGTTTTCCTAACAATGTATATAATTCATGCTATTATGTAGTTGTTTTTTTAGCCATTTCATTTGACTAGCAATATTTCCTCAAAGAGCTTTTCCTTATCTTCCTCCTTTGTGAGATTCTCCTACAAGGCCTGATAATGTACATAACAAACATGGAAACATTTTGTGAAGTATAAAACACCATTCAGTGTGAATTATATTTAGAAAAAGAGTGTCACGGACATAGCAGACCCTCAGAAACTCTGTCACATAGTTTTACTAATATATTATTTATTTCACCGATTGATATTTTCAACTAAAAGGAAGGAGACACATTCCACTCATTTTATCACTAAACCATAAAAATCCATTTAAATGACACTGACAACAGCCTTTGCTGAAATTGGAAAGAAAAAAAAAAAAACGCTACTCACCTTTTTCTTTTTCTTTAAGATAAGCTGACACTAAATCATGAAGAAACATGATGAGCTCAGCATCCATAGTCACACAAATGTGGTCAGTAAACTCTGTCACCACACTACATTCTACCTTCGGCTTCAGGCTGGCATCTGTAATGGCAAAGTTCTATAGTAAAAGATTTAATGAGATATGTCCCTTTCTCTTCCTGTTTATAAGGGATTTACAAGGGTTCATGTAAACGCACCCATTTAAATGCAACTATAGACAACTGAGTAGTTTCTGTATGTGATTTACAAATGATGATATAGTTTACTGAGCACTTTCCAAGTATATGCCACTTACTCCTCATAAAACACTCTGAATGAAATCCTATTATTGTCCCCCATTTTACTGAGGAGAAAGAGGCACAAATGGATTAAATTATTTGCCAGAAGCCAAAAGCTGGAAGAAAAACTAAGTAAATAAATAAGACTATATTACTATTACATAAATAACCTATGAGAAAACAGTAATTCGAAGTTCCTTTAGAATTTTCTTAGTTACTTTAAAAACTATTTTTCTACATACCCTGTAATGAAGGTTCCTGTGGTTCTTGAACATGAATGGATTTAAATTCAAGCTGCATCCTTGGTAATGCAAAGATAGTCTCTGTTTCATGATTGTAGCTAGAACCTCCTCTGAATCCACTCAACAAACTAGAATTCTTCACTGTAGTGCTATTCTCAGTATTATTAGCATCAACATTACGAAGCAGGTTTAGCTCTATATGGACAATAATAAAGACAAGAAGAATCAAATTAAACCAATAGGCAATGATAAACCTATAGCTTTCATGACACTATCATACACAGAATTTTTTAGAAGCTAGAAAATAATGACCCACATTTTTAAAAGTAGAGCCATATAAAGCTTTGGTCTTGAGAATAGTTACCTATATATTAATCTATTGAAATATATTTATATATAAATATAGTGATATGTTTATATATATGTAGTGTTTTACTCATATATATAGATAGTGATGTATATCACTATTCTCAAGACTGAAGCTTTATAACATGATTTTTGGATAAATCTAATACATTTTATTTTTGTTTGTCAAACTTTAAAATGAATATCATTTTTAACTAAATTTCTGTCTAAATTTAAGACTTTCACTAGGCTCAGAGTTTCCATTGATTGAATACTTTACTCTTACATAGAATTCGCAAGTAAGTATGTTCCTGACCTTGAAATAAGGTAGAAGTCCTGATTTTCCCCAACATAAGTGCTAGGTTTTCTTATAAAAATTAGCAGTTCTCAGGTACTCGGGTAGCAGTGCAGTTTGCTAATAGCCCCTCTATGTATCCCAGCCAAAAGAACCCTTTCCTCAAAAATCTCTCTTTGGAAGGTAGCAGAGTCAGTACGTAACAGTCAATACATGCATAATCTTCTAATTTACTTCCTTACCCTCCTTTGTTCTCAGAACCTTTTTAATAGTCTCTAATCCCTGGCACTGCCTATTCCATAGTAACTATTTTCAGTGGTGCCCAAGTCATCTTTCCCATTTTGAAAGGTGGTTATTTTTAAGGAAAACATTCAAGTCTTAGCAGGTCTCAGTGTAGTCACTTTTCCATGATTGGGGACTATTATTTAGTTTTATTTTATTCCAACCACCCCAAACCTTAAAGTTGGTGGCATTCTATTACTTAGTTATGTAGTAACTTTACCAAGCTTCTCATGTTTAACATCACTACCAAAATATCTTTCTAACTATAATAAACTTCGTTTAAACCAACTTTATTTTGAATATTTTCAGTTACATCCAAAATAATTTTTAGTCTATGAGATGTTACACTACCAGGATGGTAAATCAGGTACTAATATTGTTATTTATGAGTAAAATGAAACTAGTTTAAAGAATTAAACATTTTCCCTCCACTTAAATTCTAAACACAGGCAACAGAGCTCCAAATAAAGAAAAATCTCTCTAAAGAAATAAATTTTTAACCTTCATTCCTTGTGGCTGTAACATAGTTGAACCATTCTTTTACACTTGCTACTCCATGGGGTGGGTTTTCATGGCGACGCCTTGTTATCTTGGTTATTGTTGCCATAGGACTTTCCAAAGCCCCACATGGTTTGGTAACCATGGTATTGTGGCCCAGATGAAAATCTAATGTTTGTACTATATATGTAGAATGATCACTAGAGCCTAGAAGAAAAATAAAAGTTTCTTGATGTTAACAAACTACATTTAGATGCAAGAAAACAGTTGTGACTCTAGATTAATAGATTTAGTTAACTCATAAGGGTATAAAAACAGTGAGAAGTAAGAAAAAAAATCACAAATAGTTTTTCTTTCTTTTAGTTATAACTGGATTTATCCCTGGTGATGAGCAGCATCCATTTTTTTCCTTCATCATTAAGAAATCACAGATTAGGAAATAATAACTAAAAGGAAGGAGGTTTATCACTATAAATACAGGTAAAAGCATAGCCTTACCGATAAAGTTTATAGTTTTAGTCTTGACTATTTCCTTAAACTACCACCATGAGTCTTTATATTTTTATACTATTTATAATAACTATTATTATGACTGTGGCCAGCCACAACAGCAGAAACTTAATTGCCTAGAAACAGAATAAGATGGCAAGTTCAGAAGAAAGTCCTTTAACATGTTTCAGATTTTACAGATATTGATTACTGGCAATGAACTCCTTGACATGTTAAGTACATGAGAACAGAGTTGGACTTCAGAAATATAATGAAAACATACAAAAGACATGAGAAAGGAAAATTACTGTCATTTATAATCATATCAGAAGGTAAGAAAAGGTAAAAGTTACAAATGTATCAGTTTACCATCTTCCCAGATTTTCTGAGCTTCGGTCCAAAAAGCAATATTTGGTTCTTCTAAGTGAAAAAGGGCCCAGGATTTTGAACGGAAATTTGGACCATGAAAACAAGCCAATGTCATATGATTTCCATGTAAGCTCATTGATCCTCCAAACTGCATTCCATTTTCTGGTAATGGAATCTGAAATAAGGATATGTGGCATCCTGATACCACCTTCAATACTCCAGGCCAATGTCGATGATGAGCTGCATCGAGCACTGCAAGAAAACCAAAAACCACTTATTCTCAAAGGCCTCACAAACACCCTGAATGGCAGGTAGGAAGGCAACAAGTGGCTATTTTCTATAGCTGAAGTGACACGGATAAGGGATAAAAACAATTCAATACCTGTTAACATTAAGTAGAAGCTAACAAAAATATAGTCTGGGAAAAGATGCTGCGTAAGGATGGACAGAAACTAATGAAAGTAGTAACTTGCTAATAATAACTACAACTTAACACTTCAGTAATGATTCATGATTTATAAAGTGCTGGCATTAACTTTTATACAATTCTCACAATAGCTCTGTAAATTAGGGATTTGATCTAGAATCCTTTCAAGGGAAGCAGAAGAGGGGTTAAGTGAACTAGTGATTAGAAGATCTATAAGTCAAATAGAGGTCTTCTCTTTTTTTTTTTTTTTTAACTCGCTTATAGCCTAGCTACTCAAAAGTGAAGTGTGAGGACCAGCAGCATCAGCATCACCTGATAACTTGTTAGACAGAAACTGAGACAAGTCCACCTTATACCTTCTGTATCAAAATCTGTATTTTAATGGGATTTCCAAGTGTTTCAGGTACACATTAAAGTTCTACACATAGAAGCACTAATCAGATGTAACATTTATATTTATATTTCTCACTTATCCCAACAATGTCCTTTTTGGCTGTTTTCCACAACTCTCACTCCAGTTAGTTAGCATGTCTCTTTAGTTTCCTTTAATCCAAAAACAGTTCCCTAAGCCTGGTTTGTTTTTCAAGACAAGGACTTTTTTTTAAGAATCTAGGTCAGGAGTTTTGGGGAACATCTCTCTAATTTGTATATGCCTGACCACCAATTCTAGTTTAAAGGAAATATAGGGATTAGAGGAACAGGATAAATGAAACTATAAGCAAACAACTGAAAAAAAAAAATTAGAAGATAGGACAACTGGCCAAGTCTCTTCAACAAGTTAGGTCATTAGAAAAAGGACTATGCTGAAATAAGAGAGTAAAGGAACATAACCAGATTTAACCTGGGATCTTGACTCTGATATACCGGTTTAGACAAACCAGTTTTAAGAATAATTTTAGGTCATTTATAAGATGTGGTTAGAAAGCCAGAGGAGAGAAATATTTAGCAAAATGGAAAACTGGATACATATGTGGTACTGATACTCTACGGTACATAGATATTATTTGGATACTATTCACTAGACAAGGTTATAAAACAATATGAACAATATTTTGGTAAAAAGTATATGTCTTATATAGGTTTATAGAAAATTATCTGAATGTATATACTCTAAATTGTTTAGAGTGATGATTTCTGGGTGGAATGTGATGTTTCAATTTTTGCTTGTATGTATTTCCTAGGCTTTTCCAATGCACATGTACTGCTTCTGTGATTATAAAGAGTTATTTAAAATGATCCCCATGGGCACCTGGGTGGCTCAGTGGGTTAAGCCTCTGCCTTCAGCTTGAGTCATGATCTCAGGGTCTTGGGATCAAGGCCCGCATCAGGCTCTCTGCTCAGCAGGGAGCCTGCTTCTCCCTCTCTCTCTGTCTGCCTCTCTGCCTACTTGTGATCTCTCTCTCGTCAAATTAATAAATAAAATCTTAAAAAAATGAAATAAAATAAAATAATCCCGATTCTGACACTTTTCACTACTTTTACCTCTCTGGTTAAAGCTGCAATCATTTGCTGCCTGGACCTTCCGATAGCCTTCTTAATATAACTATGCTTGCAACAACACTAATGGGAATTACTGCATTGGTCTCTACTCCCACTCTTTGCCACCTATAGTCTATTCTTCACACAGCAGCCAGAGTGATTCTTCAAAAAGGAGTATTTTAAGAAAAAGTAAATCAAATATGAAAACTGTTCAGAACTCTCCAATAGCTAGCCATCGTATTCAAAATCTTATCTGTGGCCATTCATGTCCAACACTTTCTTGCTTGCTTACTCTGTTCCACAGAAGCAGCCACCTTAATGATCCTCGAATAAGCCGAGTTTCTTCTGTGGTAGGAGCTTTGCACTTTTTGATAGGCCCCTGTGCCCAGAACTCTCTTCCCCAGTAGAGATCTTTCTAGCTTAGAACTTTAAAAGGCTTCTCTGACCACCCTTTCTAGACTAGCTAGCCTCACACACTATTATTCTTTATCTCCTTCCCCTGCTTTCTTAGCATGCCTTTCTATCTGAAATTATCTGACATATTTAGTTAGCAAATTAATTATGGTCTATCTCTCCCATTAAAACAAAGCTTTATGTAGGTGGGAACTTTGCCTAATAGTATATCTCTTATGCCTAAAACAATGCTTAAGAATATAGTTGAGGGACGCTTGGGTGGCTCAGTTGGTTGGACGACTGCCTTCGGCTCAGGTCATGATCCCGGGCTGCCGGGATCGAGTCCCACGTCGGGCTCCCAGCTCCGTGGGGAGTCTGCTTCTCCCTCTGACCTTCTCCTCGCTTATGCTCTCTCTCACTGTCTCTCTCTCAAATAAATAAAAAATCTTTAAAAAAAAAAAAAAGAATATAGTTGATTTGCTGATTGAATTCCTGAGTGAAAATAATAATCTGCCTAATATGAAACAGCTAATAAATCCAAACTCAAACATTTTTATTCCACAGCCCATGTTCTAAACCAGAACATGGTATTGTCATAACTAGTATTCAAGAGCATGGAATGGGTATGGTTACAGGTGAGTTATGGCAGGGGAAGGAGGTAATATGTCACAAATGATGGCCTTTAATTCTATTGGTGAGTAGGAAATCAGGTACTTGCTGAGTAAATAGAATAAAGAGCATGTGGATCACTTTCTAAGTATGGTACATAGATATTATTTTAAATTAAGACTATAACACAACATTTGGTGAAAGATACAGCATATATAGAGGCTTAGCTCTAATTCTTACATTGTTCTTGTGAACTTCTCTCTAGGTTATTAGTCATTGTCTTAGGTGGAAGATATGGAACAGGTCCCCAGGTAGACAGAGCTCGTTTGCTGGTGTCAAACTGTTGTGTGAAAAACTCCTGGAGCTTCATTCCTATTTTTATCAGGTCTGGTGTAGTTGATCTTGATATCATTACTTGGAAAATATCCCACTTCAAATCTCCATGGACAAATATTTCACTAAAGCATAAAACAGAACTATCATATATCTTACAGAAGATAACTAAAAAAGAAGCAAACAAATAAAAAAAAACAAGGAAAATTCCCTTCTCCACCCAGCTTTTTCTTTCATATTATTTGCATAATATAAAGTAATTTTGTCAGAAAAATGAATTGTTTTCTCTCTCACTGGATGAGAGAAAACATATTAAAAGCAGTCACACAGTGTCCAAAAAGTAACATTTTACTAAATACCTTTTATCAGTCATGCTTGAATCCAGTGTATTATACAGATTTACTTTCCATTCATCCTGAAGCTTCAGATCAGCATTACTGAAGATACCCATGAGGATACTTGAGCCCATGTAATCAACACGAGCTTCAGTAGAACCCATAGTAATCTGAATCTTGTGACTAGGTTGCTGATTTGGATGTTCAGAAATATGAGCTAAAATAGAAACAATAATTACTTTCATAGAAATGCCTAATGGGGAAAACTTACCAAAATCAATTTTCAAAAATTTGTTTTCAGTTGTAAAATTTCAACATACCAACCATCTCCAAAGCATTGACATCTATGGTCCCTCCAACTACTCCTCCTTTAGAATCCAACTGTGATCTTCCCAGACCAACGGACATGCTTATCTCTCGATCTCGATTACTTCCTACCGAAAGACGGCCCTGGCTCTTCAAACCACTAGTTGTCCAACTGGAGAAAAGAAAAAGGGTTGTTAATTAGACAGACAGTTTTCAATGTCATGAATTAAAACAGGAGTTAGAAGATTTTAAAAAGTCTGATAAAACAATACATTTCTTACAAAAACTGTGGTAAATGTTTGAATATTGATAATAAAGCATATTACACTGTTTTCCTTATAATTTTCTCTCTTTAGAGTACATATTCCATGTTGTTTTATATTACAATATCTTTAAGATATTTTTAAGATAAAGCAATTTATAGCTTTTTTCTACTGTCTCAAACATTGTAATATTAAAAAGATTTTAAATTGCTTTACTATAAGAAAAATTACAACTAATCATTAATTTTTCTTATATCTGAATAGCTTACGTTGTATTTCCCATTACATTACTCATATTCATTTGAACGTTTAATTGCTTCAAGTTGATGGCAAACACGACCAATGTTTCCCATGGGGTCCCTTGTTGGCTGGCTGCTTTGTTCGATTTGTTAAAAGGAGTTGATGTTTTTGAAAGCGAATCTAAAAACAGGAAAATCAAATGCACATTCACTCACATAGGTGCTCGGAGAATTAAAAGTTATCACTCTTACCACTATCGTCCCGAAAATAAAAATATGGTATTCTTAATTAAAACCTAACATTTAATAGCTGCCATTTTGCCTCTAAAATAGTAGCTACCATTTACTGAATGTTCAGTAAGGGCTGTTAGTCTTCTTGAAAGCTTATAAAGTTCTTTATAATATCCATTTTATATGAGGAAATTCTGGTGTGCATGGGGTGCAGCAGCACAGATCATCACCCTGGGATTTTCTTAACAAAGGAGAAAATCATAAGTTACTGCTGCCAAATAGAGGACTTGAAGGCAGGGACCATTCTGAAATGCAGATGTCTGCTGAGGTGCCCGACTGCTCGGTTCCTGTGGGCTCAGTGTGAATCTTGAATCCTGCATTTATTCATTATACTCTTATATCACTTTCATATGTTCAGATACAAATAGAGTGCTGAGCACATAAAAGAGTTCAAAAAACACTGGCTGAATAAAAGAATGACTGAATGGATGAATACCAAAGATTAACTTTTTCATAAATGAGTCTGACACTCAGAAAAAAAAAAATTAACTTTTTCAAAATTAAACATATTTTACAATGTTGTAGGTTTGTTTTACTTCTAACAATAACTATACCATGTGGAACAAACTAATAATATGCTCATTCCTCTCTTTTTTTCCCTTTTTAAAGCTACTAGCCACCCAAGCTCTCTCTTCTTCTGGCAAATACTTTGAAGTGTTTGTTGTTTATGGTTTTGGGTATTACCCCGCCCCCCACCATCTTCCATAAAAATCTGTAAGATTAATATTTTCCTAGAGTTGAGGCAGAAATCTGGGAGCAACAAATTAAGATTTTTATCTTGCAGGCTCTGGAGGGATACTGATAACAAAGAGAACAGTATCACCTCTTCGGGGAACTGAAGAATCAGACACACTCCTTGATCTTATGGAAGCTGGGGATTTTAGGCTCTGTGCTGCTGTCCCTGGTGACATGGTGCTGTTTGTCATATGCTCATTGAATACATTAGGTGACTGAGGCATGTGGGTGAAAGAGGCCGACTGACTAGGCTGCTCCCAGGTCCTGCAGTAAGCTTTTCTTGATGATTCAGGGGAAAGATGCTGGCTTACACCTTCAATGGAATCAGGTGTCCCTGGGCCAGATGCTGTTAGAAAAGTAAAAACAAAATTAATAGAACAAAATTAATCCGGGTACAATCTTCATGTTATAAAATAATAAATTTTACGGCTCTACCTTTTCTAATCATATATTCCTCCTAGTTCTCTATTTGAACTATACAGCAATTCATAGTTTGCAAATTATATTCCAGCATGTTATTCTATTTAATTCTCATGGAAGTTCATGAGAGGGGCAACACAGGTACTCTTTTTTCCACTCTACAAATAAGGGAATAGGTGGCTCAGTCAGTTAAGCATCTGACTCTTGAAATCAGCTCAGGTCATGATCTCAGGGCTGTCAGATCCAGCTATGGATAGGCTCCGTGTTGGGTGGGGAGCCTGCTTGGGATTCTCTCTCTTCCTCTCCCTCTGCCCCACCCCCGCCACGTCATGCATGTGTGCACCCTCTCTCTCATAAATAAATAAATAAATAAGGGATAGACTCAAACCTGGATTTCTAGTATTTTCTACTGTATCCTGTTAACTCTACCTTTCACTTACACAGTATGCTACTACAACAACATCTAAGTCTAAAAGAAAATAATGCAGGCAACATGATAGCATATCCCCAACATTTTCTGTTTCCCATGCTTAATTAACCATGATTAATTTGGGCAGTTAGATGGTATTTCTGCATTTTCAGATTTTGCAAATTATAGAATAATCATTATAGAATATCAGCCTGGTGAATGCAATGTCTAAGAGGGCAAGCTTTTTGTGATCTCCAATACCAATGTATCCCCAGTGGTTAGCACATTAGAGGCATTCAGCAGACATTTGCTGAATGAGTGAATGAATTACATGGTACAACTTAGCAAGTAAGACAAAGTTTGTGGTATCAATCATTGATTCCTGTTACTACTATAACCAAAATTAAAAGTAACCTAAGTATAATTACAATTACATAGCAAGCTTACTTGGCAAATTTATAGTTTGGTCTCCAAGGAATAGGCGTCTTGCAATACTTCTCCTATACCAGGCTCTTGGAAATGCCAGAATTTCACTGAGTCGACGCATATCATATTTAAAGGAGGCAGACCCTATATCACATACAGCTGATACATAAATAAACAAAATCTGTTAGAGAACAGATTTCCAAAACCTTTAATATTGTCGTATGGTAGGTATGACATATTACACAACTGAATTATAATAATGTTATAAATAATGAAATACCAAAAAAAGTTACATGGTATGATTAGGAAGTGGTATTGTTCCTTCCACAAATGATAAAAATAGCACATTCTTACACTATTCCCATTTCTTTTTTTGAGGTGAGGGCAACTTGGAATTCTACTGTCAGTTTATCATGAAATTCTGAGAAGTTCTAAAGATCAGACTTATTGACAGCTTTCAGTTTAACACAGGGTTCTTCTCAAATATGGAAATGGAATAATCGGGATGGCCAGGAACACAAACTTCCTCAACAGTAGTTGCAAACCAAACAGTGTGTGGCAAGAACTACTGTTTTCCTTTTAGACAAAGAGCAGGGACTTGTCAGTCTGAAGGCATTGTGATGGCTGCTTCTTGGGGTTCTGCTCTGAGCACTCTTCTGCCCCAGTTTTACATGCTCTTCTGTTCCTCCACCAGAGCTTCTTCCATAAGGAGTTACACACCAGCGTCCCCCAAACCAACATTTCTGTTTCAGTCTGAGTCTATATCCACATAGTCCATCAGCCAATTATCTACCAGGCTCTCCCACATAAACATCCTATTAGGCGCTTCCTTATTTTTGATCTAAGTTAATGATGGTCCACTGTCCCTTCAGTCACCTAAGCTAAAAATTCGAGGCATCCCTGTCTCCTCTACTCCTTACACAACTTGTACTCAAGCTTGTGGGTTCCATTTCTCTCAAAACCATTCCCTCTTCTTTTTTATTGTCACAGTTCAGGGCTTTAATCCCTATTGCTTGGTCTATTTCAACAGTCTTTTCAAGCGTCTCTCACATTTTTCACACTGCCATCGACTCTTTCTAAAACACAGATCCGAAGCATTATCCCATTTCCTTTTTTTAATGCAAACATGTTATTTTATAATCCATATACAAATTTATTATGTGTGGTAAGAACACTTAAGATGAGATCTATCTTCACAGATTTTTTTTTTGGTCTTCACAGATTTTAAAGTGTACAATACAATACTGTCATCTTTAGCCACAGTATTGTCATCACATTTCTTAAAAACCTCTAGTGGTTTTTCACTGCCCAAAGGATCAGAACCTGTTCCTTAGCCTGCCATAGGAGTCTCCCAACAATCTGGTCCTGCTCTATTTTACCAGCTTTCCCTCTAGCCACTTCCTCTCTCCCTTGGGACATTTAACTATGCAACAGTTAAATGTTCAGTTACACTTATGCTTTGCCTCAGTGAAATGAAGTATGATCCAAGAGCATACTTTTTGATGCTTCTGTACCATTAAAGACCATGTTGCTATAGCCAAGAATCTGTTTACATTATTTTGAAGATCTGGCCCAAATATCATTTCTTTTGTGAAGCCTTCCTTCTCTGATCTCCTGAATAAAACAATTCATTTCTTCCTCTTTATATAAACCTCCATTACAGCATTAATCACACTGCACTGTCATTTATTTGTCTACTTTTAAGACCTTTCCTTATTCATGCCGGCACCCTAAATCATCTAGGAGAGTAGCGGCACAAGTTCACTGTAACATATAGACTCAGTGTATGTCTGTTGAATATTAGCTCTAAGTGTACTTACTATATTTGTGCAATTACTAACTTTAAAGGTTTTCACTCCCACAGTACTCCCAACTCTTCAAAATATTCCACATGCATATAATTTTAAACAGTCAAGTCGCAACATAAAGAAAGTGAGCAAGTGATTTGTCCATAGGTTTATGGCTAGTGACAAAGCTAGCAATACACACATACACAGCTTAAGATCTCATGACACTACGTAAAAAAATTTTAACCATCATCCCTCATTAGTGTTTCAAGAATTCACAATCAGAAAACTAAGCTAATGAAAAATCAGAAATTTTACCAATTCATGGTAGAGAAGTGAAGAAAACTTTTCAGTGATTTAACGAAGCATATTTTGGCCGTTAGGTGACATTTCTATGCATTTACCTAGAAATCATATTCTTAACGTTGCTTACTTGAATTGAGATAGTACATTGGCCTAGAATGTAATTCCTCTCATTTAAATCATTCATCACTAAAAACTTAATACTATTAAATGTATTTAATATATAAACACTGTTAAAAAGGAGACCTTACTTAATTCCAAAAAATAGCATTTTTAAAAACTATACAAGTACCAGATATATTGATTAGTGTGGTATCCATTTTGCTTGCAGACTTGCTTACAGACTGACTTTCAAAAAATGAGGCACCTCCTGAACGCCTTATCCGAGACAAACTCACTTTTACAAATTCAAGGTTTATACTGAGTGAGTCTTTTCGACCAGTGACTGAAGTGGGTTCTTCATCCACATTCCCTTTAAAACAAAAACAAAAACACAACAAACACACACACACACACGTACACACACATAAATACATGTATATATATACATATACGCAACTATCTAGTTACATGAAATTATCTAATACACTGGAATATGCCATCAATTAAAATCACTTTAAGTGAGGCTAAAAATTTAAGAAGAATGATCTAATGAGTATTAGCATTCTCAACAACAGATTTAATAGTTTCAAGTCCATAAACAATAGTGATTTTTATAATACTTCCCCAACAAAAACTAGCACTGACATGGAGTATATGTTTTTGTTACTTCTCTAAGTAAATCAAGAGATGTTCACTAATATCAACATTTCATATATTTTTAGTGGTAAATCTGCACTTTAAAATGACAGTGAAATTTAAGTTGGCTAAATAATGATAAGAAGGAGAAGCAGCAGCAGCAGAAGGTAGTTTCATTTTAAATTGACAAATGTGATGCACACACTTTAAAAATTTACTATTTGTAGAATACAATTTTCTTACACAAATAATGATGTGGTAGAACATTTAAATATTTAATATAAATATTCCTTTAAATCCAAAGACTGTTGTGCTGCATATGTCACTTACAAAATATTGTTTAAAATTCTTATATAATTAATTCACCTGAATTATTTATTTCATATTTCTACTTATGCAGAGACAGGATATTGTCCAGAAGAAAAATGAAGTTTCTGATCTTGTTTTATATCCATTATTAAAGGTACTATGATTTCTAAAAAGATCAAAGCTTCAAAAGGTGCTATAAATTCAAAAAGATGGAAACACTCTTAAGTATACCTAGTCCTCCTGATCCAGATGTGAGCCCAGAAACAGCAGTTTTTTGTTTCCCTGCTCCGTACGGATGAAATACATAAAGGGAAAAGTCAGACATGCATGCAGTGAAGCTCAAACCAGATGAACTGCTGCTAGAACTGGTCAGATCCGACTGACTACTACTATGTCGACTTCTGCCAAGAGGGCTGCCCAGGCCGGATGAACCTATAATGAAAACCAGAAGTCCAAAATATTTATAAGCCACAGAAAATTTTAAAAGCCTGTCACTTAATACATTCTTAAGAACCAAACAAAACAAGACTTGAAATTAAAATGGAAATACACAAACATTAATTGATCGATAGATTTAAAACCATCATATCAAAGTAAAGACTTAGATGTACTTTCTAATTAATTTTTTCTGTTAACTGGGGTTAATACTATGTTCATCTTTGAGACAATTATTTAGACATTTGATTGGCCAACTCCATAGTTTGCCATTTCTTTTCTCCTTTGCTCCATTGCAAGCAGGCAGTAGAAGAGCCAAAAAATAGCTGGGGCTTAAGCGAAGGGGGAGAACAAACTATAAAAAATCCAAATCATATAACTGGAGTCCACATTTCCATAGCCAGCAGTGGAAATAGAGTAAGGTACACAAATGCAGAAAGTTAAAATCTCTTTCTCTGAGAAGAAGCAAGTATCCCCATTGGCACCACTTACCACAGGTGTACAGACTAATCCAAAATACACTTTAAATGTAAAAAATATGAGTAAAGCATCTTAGGAGAACATTATATGGTTTTGCTAATAATTTCAAAATATGTATTTCTAAAATATATAGACCTCCTTTGGATTCATATTGCAACTGGTTACTTGGCATCCTACTAGAATGTGTCACAAGCATTTAAAGCTTACCAAGTCCAAAACTGAACTCTTGATCTTTACCCCCAATCTGTTTTTCTTCCAGTGTCTCCCCATCTCCAGTAAGTGACATTTCCAAGGACACAGCTCAGCCAGAATCCTGGGAGTTATCTGTCATCCTTGCAATTTATTACCATTGTCATTTCATGTCTAGGAACATATACTAAGCCTGTCCATTTCCCTGTATCTCACTATTGTTACTCTAGTCTAAGCAGTTATCAGCTCTGGTACTGCTGAAATGGCCAACTGTTCTTTCTGCTTCCTTCTACTCTTGTTCTCCTCCAATCAACTACCACACTGCAGTTGGACTGGTGGTGTTCCAAAGGTATAAATCAGAATCTCACGTCTACTCTCCTGTTTAACCTTCAGTGGCTTCCCCACATGATCTGGCTCTTTCCCGTCTCTCTAAATCTTTTTCATACCAATCTACCTTTTATTTGCCATACTCCACTTATACTAGTTGTTTTTGTTTTTTAAACTTGCCAAATTCTTTCCTGCTTCATGGATTTTGTATTCTCTACCTAAAGTGTTCATCATCCCAACTCTCTGCTTGGCTAACCCATACTCACCCACTTCACATTTCCACTTAAAATATGCTTGTTTGCTTATCATCTGTTTCTCCAAATTCAACTTAGGTCAACATTAGCAGCAACGTATCTGCTAGCTAGGTTCACTACCATCTCTTCAACCCCTGGCACTGACCCACACCCCAGTAAAATTCAATAAAGATCCTTTGAAACAACAGATACTGCTGGGGGGTCTGGGTGACTCAGTTGGTTAAGTGTCTGCCTTCAGCTCAGGTCATGATTTCAGGGTCCTGGGATCGAGCCTCAAGTTGGGCTCCTGAGTAGGGAGCCTGCTTCTCCCTCTCCCTGAACCCAGCAGGAAAAGAGAAATCATAAAGATCAGAGCAGAAATCAATGAAATAGAAACCAAAAGAACAGTAGAACAAATCAACGAAACTAGGAGCTGGTTCTTTGAAAGAATTAATAAAATTGATAAACCCCTGGCCAGACTTATCCAGAAGAAAAGAGAAAGGACCCAAATTAATAAAATCATGAACAAAAGAGGAGAGATCATAACCAACTCCAAAGAAATACAAACAATTAAAAGAACATATTATGAGCAACTACATGCCAGCAAATTTGACAATCTGGAAGAAATGGATGCACTCCTAGAGACTTATAAACTACCAAAACTGAACCAGGAAGAAATAGAAAACCTGAACAGACCCATAACCAGTAAGGAGATTGAAGCAGTCATCAAAAATATCTCAACAAACAAGAGCCCAGGGCCGGGCGGCTTCCCAGGGGAATTCTACCAAACAGTTAAAGAAGAATTAATACCAATTCTCCTGAAACTGTTCCAAAAAATAGAAATGGAAGGAAAAGTTCCAAACTCATTTTATGAGGCCAGCATTACCTTGATCCCAAAACCAGACAAAGACCCCACCAAAAAGGAGAATTATAGACCAATATCCCTGATGAACATGGATGTGAAAATTCTCACCAAAATACTAGCCAACAGGATCCAACAGTACATTAAAAGGATTATTCACCATGACCAAGTGGGATTTACTCCTAGGCTTGGCTAAAATTAACAAGACAGGAAACAACAGATGTTGGCAAGGATGCGGAGAAAGGGGAAGCCTCCTACACTGTTGGTGGGAATGCAAGCTGGTGCAGCCACTCTGGAAAACAGCATGGAGTTTCCTTAAAAGTTGAAAAGAGAGCTACCCTACGACCCAGCAATCGCACTACTGAGTATTTACTCTAAAGATACCAATGTAGTGATCTGAAGGGGCATGTGTACTAGAGAGTATTATGCCGAGCGGAATAAGTCAATCAGAGAAAGATAATTATCATATGATCTCCCTGATATGAGGAATTTGAGAGGCAAAGTGGGGGGCTTGGGAGGTAGGGAAGGAACAAATGAAACAAGATGGGATCAGGAGGGAGACAGACCATAAGAGCCTCTTAATATTACAAAACAAACTGAGGGTTGCTGGGGGAAGGGGGAGTATGGAGATGGTGGTTATGTTATAGACATTGGGGAGGGTATGTGATATGGTGAGTGCTATGAAGTGTGTAAGCCTGATGATTCACAGACCTGTACCTCTGGGGCAAATAATATATGTTAATAAAAATAATTAAAATAAAAAATAAATTAAAAAAAATTTTAGGCCAGCACATTAACAATGGTTAAAAATAAATTTAAAGCGTAATGTTGGGAAGAACACAGTGAACCTGGTGTTTACACACACTGTGATGAGGATGCAGAAATCTTTTATTTACTAGAAGAGTAAAACATATCAAACACTTTAAAAATGTTCACTCTCTCTGACTTAGGAATTCCACTATTAAGAATTTATCCTAAGGATGTTGATTTATATACGAAAATATTAAACTCAATATTATTTACAAAATAGAAAACAAAAAGCTCAGGTAGTCTCAAATGTATGATCAAAATGATGGATTATCATGAAATCATTAAAGTTATTTTAGAGATGAATATTTAATACTTTGGGAAAACTTATATTTTAAGTTTTTAGAAGATACATAGCAGAAAAGATCATATTTAAATTTTGCCTGGGAAGAAGACTGTATCTACAAAAATGCTGAAGAGTAGGTAGGAAATTATAATATTGGTTACCTCTGATAAAAGGATATTATTTTCATTTTTAGTACTCTTGTTCTCCACATTCTCTATAATGAATAGTGAGTTAATTTTATAATAAAAAGTAGGTTTTTCAAAAACTGACACTATAACTCCAATATTTTTACAGACCACAACACAATTCCAACAGCAATATTCTGGAGCTAAGTGTGACAGTGGGCTACCATATTAGCAAAATTTTATTTCTAAAATATCAACTTTTTGTTTTCCTATTTTACGATGAAAACTTTCAAAGATTCACACTGCAAAGCAATGTTTTGCTTTAGCCATTACATGCACTACATGCAAAATATCCCATGGGGGCTTTTTTTACCTCTGGTTATGAACCACTCTCTTAATGATAGTTCTCTTATTAATAATTATCAATTTTCATTCATTCTAGTCTCTTTACAAATGGTCAATAAAATCTTTATCATTTGCATATGCGATCTTTCTATGATTTTTAGGGCAGAAATGACTCAAGCTTTAATAAAGTGAACAGTGACTATCTCACCAGGAAATTATTGGTTGTATGTTAAAAACAGAATCTTTCATGAAATGGACATTTGATTGATATATATATATATATATACACACACACACACACACACACAAACACACAAAATTATGATTGAATACACACACACACACATACACACACACACACTACCCCTCATTTTAATTCACGGTGATAAATTCTTGCAAGATAACACTCTATGTCTTATTTTCCATTTGTAACACTGATTATTCTTAAATGTAAAAAATAGAGCATAAAACATTCAAAAGTACTTAAATGTATAATATGACAGTTACTTCATAATGCTTATAGGGTGTACATTCAAGCCAACCAAAAAATGCTAACCAACTGCCATTCCCTTGTACCAAAATATACTAAAAAAAACTTTGATCTCTCTATATTTTTCTATAAATGCTGTAATTCTCATATATTCTCCTTTTCCAAATTTATTTTTTTAGAAACACATACTAATTCTAGTATTTGGCTTTCAACTAGCAGAATAAAAGAGCGTTTCTATACCGGGTATTCCAGTTTTGCTTGCAGAAGTCTTTGTTCCACTTGGAGTAGCATTACCTCCAGGGGATAAAGTTTCTGTGGGATACGTGGTCCCTAAAGTCTCCAGTTCACCTCGGTTTGAAGAAAACACCAAGTCCAGGGATGGCAGCTTTAGCATGCATTCTACTCTGGATACTGGTAAGCAGCTAAACTTGATCTGTGAGGGCTAAAAAGTGCAGGAAGCAAAAAAAAAAAAAAAAAAAGTTTCCAGGTACTAGTTAAAAAATTTCACACTGGATTCCAAAAAACGTAATTAATTTCCATTTCAGTCCACATATAGCAAATTATTTGAGACTTTAAAGGATTTTGTGTTTAATGTCCTAGCTCTTTCAAACAGATACATTATATATCAACCAAAATTTATTAACAAAAAGGTATTTTAGGAATCACCTCGAGTGATATATATTAGATTATTTAGGTAATTCAGAACATTAAAGATGTCAATGTTCATATTACACTTGTTCACAATCAAATTTTGAAAAGAAGTAATTCCTCTTATACTAAAATTTTTTAAAAGCTATGGTAATAACAGAAATTTTATAAACTCTCAAGCCCTCCCCCATTACATGTTTTCATCATATCTTCAAAAGGCTAATGCAAAACTCCCTACTGAAGACCTCTTGGGCGAACAGCTATTGTAGAAAATAGTTTGAATAGATGACCATTAGTGTTTCTTTTATTCTTGAAATTATCAGAGTTTAGTTGAAGGTAAACTGAAGCCTAAAGTTTGGTTACAAGCAGTTTTCATATCCTCTTTAATAAATGGACTCAATCAGATGCTAATTCCCAAAGGGCGAATTGTAAGACTGCATTTTACAATAAAATATTAAATAAAAATTCCATTAACTCAGCGAAAATCTAATAACAAAGGTACTACTGTTTGACTTACATCTCAATTACACTTTATATTTGCCCATAAAGGACCATAATGGCAAGAAACACAGGTGTCATAATAAAAAAGGGTAGAAAATTCTTAAAAAAAAAGGGGGGGGTTTAACTTATACATTTTTGTTTTTGACAAAGAAGTATAAGATCTAAATTTTGAAAGCCCAAAGATCTATGAACCTCCTCAGCAGAAAAGTAAATACACACATAAAATTGTCCATACACTTCTCAGAGGTTCAGGTGATCTCTAAGCCATTATAGGTATACTAAAGGTCCATGAATACAAGGTTAAAGAAACTTTAAGGGAAATAATGCTGGAAATATTCAAGTAAACTTAAGAAAAACATTTTTCTTTAAAACAAAAAGGAATAAATGAAGTATATCCACCTGAACTCGTACATAAACCACAACATCTACAGGGAAGGAAGAGTAAGCAGATGTTGAAGATGATACTAATGATGTTGTCGATTCTTCCATAGGATCTGGTATTTCAAAATGTCCCATATCTTCATCTTGTGAACTGACAGCTGTTGAAATATTTAGTTTTATTATTAGGGCAAAGGCAAACTATTTTTTTAAAGATTTATTTATTTATTTGAGAGAAAGAGAAAGAGAAGATGTGCGTGTGCAAGTGGCAGCGGGGGTGGGGATTGGTGGGGGGAGCAGATGGAGAGAAAGAATCTTAAGCAGACTCCAAGATCAGTATGGAGCCTGATGGGGGACTCCATCTCACGACCCGGAGGTCGTGACCTGAGCCAAAATCAATACTTGGACACTTAACAGATTACACAAGCCAGACACTCTGGGCAAACTATTTATCAAAAGATCCTTTCTTGGGACACCTCGGTGGTTCAGTTGGTTAAGCGTATGCTTTTGGCTCAGGTCATGTTCCCAGGGGCCTGGGATCAAGCCCTGCATCAGGCTCCCTGCAAAGAGGAGAGCCTGCTTCTCCTTCTCCCTCTCCCTCTGCCATTCCCCCCACTTGTGCTCTCTAGCTCTTTCTGTCAAATAAATAAAATCTTAAAAAAAAAAAATATCCTTTCTCTTATGCTACTACTGAGATCAGGGATATGAACACACAGAAATGTGCTTCTGTAGCCCATCATTCCACACATCTTTCCCTATTCAAACCTCTTGCTCATTTCTCCAAATTCCAATCCCCCTCCTATTATAACAAACACTGTGCAAAGAAAATTAAGACTTTGCCCTCAAGAAATTTCCAGTCCAAGAGGGAAGCCAATGTAGGAATTAAGGATGTTAATTTTGTCTCTAACTAGCTATGGCCGTGGGAAAATCATATAACCGCACCAAGATTTATTTTATTTGTAAATGAGGACTAGATGATTTCTCAAGTTCTTTTTCAGTTCTACAGTTCTTGATCACTGAATTATATCATAATGTATAACATCATTAAAAATCCTTCTAAGTGATAGAATTTTAAAAATATTTGTGATGCAGGAGCAACGGGGTGGCTCAGTCGGTTCAGCACCTGCTTCTTGATCTCAGATCAGGTCATAATCTCAGGATCCTGAAATCAAGCTCCACATTGCGTTCTGGACTGGGCATGAAGCCTGCTTAAGGTTCTCCCTCTGCAACAACCCTCTCCCCAACTGCGCTTGCATTCTCTCAAAAAAAAAAAAAATTGTGATGGGGAAGTAAATATGTAAGGAGGATACTTACTTGTATAATTCCTTTCAATTGGTGTAATTGGGATAGTTTCCAGAGCTTTTTCCAGAAAATCTAACAGGCAGGGACTAATAACCATTTCTTCTGGCAATGACTGAAGCGCTACCCAAGCATATAATTTGGCTGTTTTTACTCCTCCACTTCCTTTTCCTTTGGCTAAAACATTTACAAATGTGAGGTGAATTTAATAGTTCCCATACAACATATAATAATTTTGTGAGAAATCAGAACTACGTATGACAGTTTAATCAGGTGAAGCATCTTATTCCTAAACTATATAAGAACACAATAAAAATAACAGATTGACAAATATGATACATTAATATTAGAATATAAAGATAATTAATGATGCATATAATACAAGTTATTCCTACTTGCTCTAGGTGACAAATGTTGCTTCAATTTTTTGTTTAAAATTTGCTTAGTGTCTCATTTAGCATTATTTTGTCCACTTAAGAAGATATAGAGAAATTTGACTAACAATATTTTTTGTTAAGTGAGGAAAAATGTTGTTTTCAGGTTTTCCTGTGTTCCTGTAGTTCTTAACTTGTAGATCTTTATAAAGCCTCCCTGCATGACTCCCATCCCTCTTTCCTTCAGAAAGGAAATATTTCTGGGTGAGTAGAATGAATATAATAGCTAAGACTCAGCTAACTTCGGCTTAGGTTTCCACCCCCAACATATATTAGTTTTGTAAACCTAGAAAAGCAGTCCAACTTCTATGAACCTGAACTTCCCTCATTTATAAAATGGGGATAATAGTATCTGTCCTATACTTAATGGGCATAGATGTGCCTTGCCAATTCAAAAGTGATATAAAAAATATTATGCATCATTATCACATTTATTAGATATTTTAAAAGATTTATATATCAAATTCCATCTCTAAAATGAAACTTTCTGAACTAATTCTTATTCAGCCTGATGTTCCCTTTTTGGGGGGAAATTTTACTATAAATATATAAGGTATTATTCATGTGGTGTGGTAGCCAGATTCCAAAATAGCTTCAGTGGCCCTTGCCTCCTGGTATTCATGCCCTTGTACAGTTTTCTCCCACACTGACTTGGGCTGACCTGTATGCTCAATAAGATATTGTGGAAGTGATGGTTTGTGACTTCTGAGGCTACGCCATGAAAGACACTGCAACTTTAGTAGCTATGTTCTCTTTTGGATCACTTCTTTCCAGGGAAGTCAGTTCCCTTGTTATAGGAACACTAATACAGCCAGTGGACAGGCCCAAATGGGGAGGAACTAAAGTACCAGTTTGCCCACCACGTGAATGGGATGTGATGGAAGTAGGTTTTCCAGGCCCAGTTAAGCATTCTGATGACCACAGCCTAGCCAATATCTTGACTGCAATGTCACAAAAGACTGTCAAGTTAGATTCGCCAGCCAAACTGCTCCTGTATTTCTGATCCACAAACTGTGTTTGAGGTTAGAGGCCACCAGGTTTGGGATCATTTGTTATGCAGGAATAGATAATTAATAAATGTGGTTAAGATCAATGTACTTTGTCTTAAAAGTACAAGTTTAATGTTTCCACTTAGATCAAAAACTCCCAAATATGAACTATGTAAAAGTTTTTCCAAGTGAATAGATCTAAAAAGTTAAGTAAATAATCTATTTGGCATATTAAGATTCTTTTAACGGTGATATCCTAGGTAGTATCAGTGTGAAAAATAGCCAAAAGTTGCGCCAGACTTCTATATGTGAGTTTTATACCATCGTTATTGACAAGTCTATGGGATTTTTTTCTTTAACATGTGAATTTGCAAGAAATTCTCAATAGAGCAAGTAAGTGATGACTAAAAGGTTACCAAAAAAATTAAAAATAAAGCATATTTTCCTGAAATACCTGAGGGAATAGGTGGGGGTTGGGGAGGAAGTAAGGTGTTAGTCTTGCTCTGGACATTGCAAGGTAAAGGAGGAGAAGGAGGAGATGGTGCACTATCTTTCATACCATACAGCTTGGACTCTTTAGAGAGCGTTCTTGGCAAGGAAGATCCTCTGGAAGCATTGGGTGATTCGGTCTTTAGTGTCTTGGAATTGTAATGCAACTGTATTAAGACAAATAAACTTTCAAAATTAAAATAATGAAGATGAGAAAAACCAACATATGTAAAAAAATGTGGAAGAAAGAACACCAATCCAGGGGTCAGAAGACCCAGTTCCAGTTTTTTACAAGTTAACACTGTGATACTAGCAAGATTCTTAGCTGTTTTTCATTTAAAATTTAAAAAGTCATCCCAGATATTAAGTTCCTCCTAGCTTAATGTTATAGGAGTCTATAACTCTATAATCTAAAAAATAGTTGTTTAATTAAGTTGGACAAGGAAAGGTTTAGCAAATGATATGACTATCAATGCATAAAAAAGTAACTTCGTACTAACAAAGTTCAATGAAGAAGCTGTATAAAAGAAGTGGAAACCTGAAATTTGGATCTTCTTAAGTTCAGAATATAGTTATATCAGAGAAAAATGCTGGAAAGTCTCACTTTAATATAATCGGTAAAGGAAGAACACACATGATAGAAAATAAACACTGTGAAGAATAATCTAATCCTAGACTTTAAGGTTTTTACCTTTACATCAACTCCAGGAATGTAAAATACTGTTGTTTCTAAGTCACTAGACTTTGTCTGTAGAGAAGATGGTACTTTCTTGCCAGTCATTAAATGGGTGGTAGAAGCATAATTGGTTTGAAACTTCTTCTTTTTTGAAGGAGAATCTTGATCTAAACTCCTGGAACTTCTATCATAACTCCTATAAATAGAAAAATGATTTTTATCTTTTTAAAAAAGGCATTCATCTCCTTTTGTTTATAATCAAACTTTTACTTATACAGCAAGTTGAATATAATCCTTCATTAGTAAAACTGAAAAAGGAAAGCTCATTAGTGCCTGTAGTAAAACTGGCTAACACCATGCATGGATGACATTCATGTTGTATGCTCTGTAACTACACAGGGCAGCCACCTTTAGTCTTTCCTGAGGTCACAGGTGTTTCACATGAACGTATTAGGTTGAGCCAAATGAAATTGCCCTTTACACAGGTAAAATCAGTTGAATATCAGCAATCTATTTTAATGAATTAACATGCTTTTTATCATTACTACTACATTTGTAGGAATTTAACTGTTTAAGTGCCTTTTTTATCTTCTCATTTTATAAAACCCTCCTTAGAAAAAAAAACCACTTAAAAATCTTTTTTTTTTTTTTAAATGTAATCTCTATACTCAACATGGGGCTCGAGGTCACATGGTCTACTGACTGAACCTGCCAGGTGCCCATAAAAATCTTTTATTGGGAAAAATTTCAAACATTCGAAAAGTAAACAGAATGGTAAACTGTAAACCCCCATGGCTCCATCTTCCAGCTTCAACAGTTGTCAGCATTCTGCCCCCTTTTTAATTGACATCTCTAGTAACTTCCCATCTATTGTCTCAATTATTATTTTCTTTAGTTCTTTTTAAGATTAGGAGATAAAGGCAAAAATTCAAAGAAAAAAATAATCTAATCTTAAACCTATTTATACCACCACTTTTTCAATGATGGAGATAAATGCTGAAGCTACATTCCAATATACTTAGGCCTCTTTGTCCCCAGTTTCCCAATCTCGATTTTTTTTCCGAATTCACCAAAACTCTGAATAACCAAGAAATCTCTGAGTACTGCACTGTTCTTTAAAACAGAAATACTCACAATACAAGAACAGAGACTGAGAAATTTGGGCTTATTTAAAAGAGAATTACAAAGACACAACTCTTTTAATTAAATTGCTAGAATCTAAAGTAGAAATGCATTTCTAGTTGCCAGAAAATTTTATATACTTGTTTAAGGAAATAGTAAGTTATACAAGTAACCACTCAAACTTAAAACTCTGATTAAATCCACTCTTTAAATCTGTATTTTGGGAGACGGGTGAAAAAGTTTTGTAATTCAGGGAAACAGCAATAAAGTTAAATGCTCCTTTTCTGACCAAATTCTTACCTTCTCAAGCTTATATCATCATGTTCTTGTAGAAGGGTAGTTGGGTGGAGAACACATTTTCCACTATCAATTTCCACCCGTATATCAAGTTCAAAGTCAATATTTCTCTCTGTAGCTGCGCCACTAAGACTTCGGTTGACTGGAGCTGTGGGCCAGCGTTCTGTAAATAGCTGATGAACAGCAGCAAAGCCTGTTGCTTTTTTACGAGATGTGTGTCTAGAGAAAGAACTGACTGTTACATTTTACTAAATTCGAAGAATTTTCAACAAACTATTTCCCAATATGTTATGTGAGCAATAGTCTGTAAATAAATTTTATCATTTTATAAATTCACACATATTACTCAATTAGCTCATACTAATTGAAATTTTTCCCAAGTTTGATGGAGTCACATTTTATTCAACAACCATACACTCAGTAACTATTATGTGCCAGCTGACGTGCTAGGTGCTGAGGACACAGGCATAATCACTCCTATTGAGGAGTCTGAATGTCAATGTATGAACTATATTCTACATTTGTGAGATTGCATTTTTGCAAATTGTGAAATGCTATTTTTCTGATTTTATTAAAAGAACAAAGAATAGGGAAAGAAAAAAAATAATGTCATATGGAGCTAAATTACATTAATAAACCATAAATATGTTTCTTAGTCTCACTTTGGCTAGGCACATTAAGATTTTTTTCTGTAAAATTTAACAGTTACACATAACTCTGCAAAGCTCGGTTCTAGACTCTGAAATACTACTGATGGGTCTCAAAACAAAAAGGCCACTTACGAGGGTTTCCGGTAAATATAAAACCTTTCCCTCTCATGGTCTTCATCCTTTTCATCCTTCTCAGAATCTTCACTAGTAGAAGACAAACTGTCATCCCGTCGGCCCTCTTCAGGCTGGAAAGGAATGCCTGATGAATAGCCTCCTGGAGTTTTGGGAGAACTGAACACAGAATATGATCCTTCACTATTTGCGGAGTAATGGGATGGTCCTTCAATGGTTACTGACAAAAGGTCCAGTTCTGTCTCCTCTGGAAACTGAGTGTAAAAAGAGAAGATGTGAGTCAGGTTCACATTATACATCTCTTACTTTAAAAAGAAAAAGAAAAAATATATGTTTAAGCATTTAAAATTCTCTCAAGAGTTGAATTTCCTCACTCTGAACCATCATATGAAATGGCACACCAAGGAAGGAAGGTCTTACCACAGACAGACACACTACTGACATACTAAAAATTATAGTGAAATTTTACATTATATAAACATATCATCAGCCTGTTAATTAGTACATATTGTGTAATTCTTTAAGCATAGTTAAACATGCTGTGGAGACAAAGCAAAGAATGTGATCAACTGTAAATCAGAAGGGCAAGAGAGTAATTAGTGATGGAAGAGCATGCAGTGTCCCTTGAGAAAGTACTTCATGCTTCTGGATGCTTTTTATAGCTAGCTTTTAAAAATGAGTCCCCCACCCCACCCAAAAAAAGAGTCTCTATTTGATTGACAACTGTAGACAACAGATGTGTCAATCATTATGTAATTAAAGATATGAATCAAACTTATAAACACTATTTTTTAAGGAGAATAGTTTATTATAAACACTATGTCACTGAGAATTGCACCAGAAGGCCACTGTATTTAAGTAGATCAAAAACAAAACAAAACAAAACAACAATAACAAAACTTCCTATGACCTAATTTATTTTTCCAATTTGAGACTTGCTCAAATATCCTTTGAAAATGCGATAAGCCTTTGTAAAGTGTTATGTGCAAGGTAAAGTAATTTGTTGATACTATTAAATACAACAAAATTAGATACACAAAAATAGAGTACTATAATAAAAATGTCTTACATACAGAATTCAGCTTTTCCTTATTTTTTATAATATATATGTTATTTAGTAATTAAGTAAAACAGATTTTATTCATCAGAACATCTTCAATTTTTTAAAGGTAAGAATCTGTGCAATCCCTTTGTTTTACATTTATTTTACATTTAACCATGCCTTAATGATCTATAATTTGGGATTTTTATATGCTATTTTTTTAAACAAATAGCTTACATTACTATTTAAAAATAGGATTTGAACCAATTCAAATATTAATGCCTTTGAGAATTACTTGATCATTTCAAAACATACTTGATCATTTCAAAACATACAAATAAATCAAATCATTGGTTTTACATCTGAAACTGATATAACGTCATGTCTCAATAAAAAAAAAAATGGATGGGGAAATATCAATTAGGAGAATCCCTCGATTCAGTTCTTTAAATGATTTATTTCCAAGTTCATATTTAGAAAAAAAGGACATGTTTATCAAGCTCCCCATAATCTCACAGTTCTTTTTTTTTTTTTTTTTTAAGATTTTATGTATTTGACAGAGAGAGAGAAACAGTGAGAGAGGGAACACAAGCAGGGGAAAGTGGGAGAGGGAGAAGCAGGCTTCTTGCCGAGCAGGTAGCTCAACGTGGGGTTCAATCCCAGGACCTTGGGATCAGAGTCCGAGCTGAAGGCAGACGCTTAGTTGACTGAGCCACTGAGGCACCCCTATAATCTTACAGTTCTAAAACAAAATTTAGTTTGACTAAGTTCAGTGTAATGGCGGGATATGTACTAAAACTATAGCTTAAGAGGGCAGGGAAACAAAATGTATGTGGAATAAGTGCCAGTTTTTAATGTAACTTGATGGAAAATTTCTAGACAAAGATTTATATACCTAGTGTACAGATATATTTTTAAAATTTAATTTTACTTTCATGACATATTCAGGGAAAATATATGGTTCGTAAAAATGTTAATTCAACTTTTAAGTCCTTGGGTGGCACATTTTCCATATTGTTTTGAACATAATTTTTAAATGGATTTTTTAAATAAATGTACGCTTTTTTTATATGTACACAGTGACTCCAAAGAAATAGCATTCAATGATTAATTTGTTGTTCTGAGAGAAGTTTGATTCTAGTTTCAATGAGTTAAATTTTTTTTTTTTAAAGATTTTATTTATTTATTTGACAGACAGAGACGACAAGTAGGCAAAGAGGCAAGCAGAGAGAGAGGGGGAAGCAGGCTCCCTGCTAAGCAGAGAGCCTGATGTGGGGCTCGATCCCAGGACCCTGAGATTATGACCTGAGCCGAAGTCAGAGGCTTTAACCCACTGAGCCACCCAGGTGCCCCTAGTTAAAATTTTTTTTAAAGAAAAGATTCATTTTGTCATTGAATGTAGGGAAAACAGATTCACTTAGGGATTAGCAAATAACTAATAAATAGGAGTTTTTGATTTATGATTTGGTTAATTTGGTAAGCTGATTTAGTAATTCTGGAGATTCAATAATTAATATTATATAAATAAATACAGAACTAAAATGTTTTCATGCAAGAGCTTATAAAATATACATGATGAAAAAGAATTCAATCTTAAAGCTTTATGTAAAATATTTTTGAGGTCTGAGTTTAGTATAAAATGAAAGGAAGACATTTTGAAAGCAGATTTTCAGGGTGGCTAATTAGTTTTAAAGCAAAATTTATGTTGTTCTTAATAAGTACCTGAAAATACCCTTCCCCAGGACAGCTGGATTGTGGCGTACTTCCCCATATTGTTTTTTTCAACTTAATTAAAATAATAAGAAAATATATAAAAACTCATGAAAAATTAAAAAAACAATGGTTTAAAAGCAAACAAACATTCAAAAAACAAAACAAACATGTTAACATAAATTTTAACACATACAAAATTAAATATAACTTTTAAGCTGACCTTCTAACTTCTGGTTTCTGCTATTACCTCTATATATTCTGAACTAAAATACATAATAAGATAAATAGATAAAGTATAAACATTCCACATTTACACTGGTGTAAAAGACCTAGTTTAATGTGGATTCATACTTGAAAGGAAAATTATTCAACGAAGTCTTTCTATCTAAGATCAAGCAGTATGGAATCTTTATTCTAGGTGCGAAACACTAACATGAGCAGCATGGCTCTCAAATGCTAGCACAGAGGCAGTGTCTTGCTGTTTGGAAATTTAAAGACACTTCACCCATCACAACTGGCACTTTCACTGTAGGTAGGAATTCATATTTTGAAACTGTAACCACTGTAATTTTGTAATTACTAAAAATTATTTGACACTGTGTATCTCTAACAAATAGTATCTCTCTTACTGTATCTTGGATATTGAAAGTTACTCTGGGTCCGGGAGATGCTGCATCCACACGGATTTCAGGGAGCTCCTCAGTTTCTCCTATTCGAGAACTGGAAGAAAAATATGAAGTTACTAAACATTAGCATTCTTTTTTTAAAAAGTCCCTGGACTTTATAAAAGTCTAACAAATGTCAGTAAATTTTTTACTGACACTAAATATTTCTAAATACTTACCTTATCCAAGGATTAAATTTTTGGTATCCCATTCCTTAATCTTTAGCATCTCATTAAAAAACAAAACAAAACTGAATGTTTTGATTAACATGAGATTTTCTGAAACTAAAGCATATTAAAAAAATATATAGTTCTTACTTTAAATGCTCATTTATTAGTAAGACAGTATTTTTCTTTAATATGTAGAATTTCCATTTTTTCATATGCTAAATATGTATGTAGTCACATCTCTTCTAAAATGGCAAACTTATCGCAGCAGTTACTAATCTGCACATACTCATTTCTTTGAATAGTCCGTAAGTTCACACATAAACTTGTCTAAATAGCAATGTACTTCTTCTCTAAAAAGCACACAGTGACTACGGTATAAATACACTAGAAGAATTCCTCAAATAAACTTTTTAGTTGGATAGTATCCATTATTACCGGTATTTGACTAATAAGGTTAATTTTTGCTCCCTTAATTATGTAATTTCCCCAAGTAGAACACAATAAATTAGTAGTGGATCTTCATAAAGGAGTCAGCAATTTTATTACTTGTTTCAGTGGATGAAAATAGGTATTACCTTGCCCTTTCCATTCGTTTAAGAGGAGGTCTTCCAGAAGCAGAAATGCTTTTTGAACGGCTATAACTTGGTTTGTAACCCAAACCCCACTTATCCTTTAGAGAAGCAGCCTAATGAAATGGGAGAGGAAGAGTGACTTTAGACAGTTGCTTATTGTCATAATATCTGATTATAGGTAAAATATTCTATTCAACAAAATAGTATGTTTTCCCCAAGTCAGTAACATGCTACTTTAAATTTGTCTTTAGGGGCACCTGGGTGGCTCAGTGGATTAAATAAAGCCTCTGCCTTCGGCTCAGGTAATGGTCCCAGGGTCCTGGGATCAAGCCCCGCATCGGGTTCTCTGCTCAGCAGGGAGCCTGCTTCCCCCTCTCTCTCTGTCTGCCTCTCTGCCTACTTGTGACCTCTCTCTGTCGAATAAACAAAATCTGTAAAAAAAAAAATTGTCTTTAAATATCATTTAACAGTACAGATGGATCAAAGTAGAGCAGGACTCAGCCACTCTTTAGACCTAATGTCAATTAGAAGGGTTGTACAATGGAAATATGGTTCACCGTCTGGCCTGAGAGAGAAAAGAAAAAGATTGGGAACAGGATGAGGGGTACAGAAATAAGGTGAGAAGAAAGGAAACAAAGGAAAGAAAGGCCAAAAAAAAAAGAGAATTAAAAGGAAAGATTCTGGGAGAAGCTGGGTGGCAGGAGGAGGTAAAAGGGAGATCAGAGGAGAGCAGGAAGGGTAGAGGGAGAGGCTGGGATGGGGAGACCAGTTGGGTGGGGGAACCATTGATCATCTTAAGTACCACCCACAGGCATGCCTGCCACAGCACTCCATTATAAGAAAGGAAAGGAAGGGGTGACCTCAACAATCTACTTATCTCTAAATGTGTAACTGGGGTCTAGATATTGAAATGATTCTAAAACAATGGAGATGTGGAATGCAAGAGGACTGAGGAGGAAGTGAGGGGGGGGGGAAGACAAATGAGATATATGCTAAGAACACTGATAAAAGTTCAAGAATTTCTCTAATTCTCTCTACACAGTTTTATTTTTAACAGTCAATTACCAAATATAAACTACCTTATAAATAGTGCATAAGCAGTACTTTAATTTTATTGTATGATTGTTAGGTATACAGTAGCAAAAATTTTAAACAAAGACTTATGCGTTATAGATCATCACTATCCATTTATTACCATCAGAAGCCAGTGATGAATAACTCAAACTGGATTTTATCTTCAATTTGAATAAATAATTTAGAACAGTTTTCAAACTAGGATGTCTGGGAGTTCGGGGTGGTCAAGAAAGGTCAAGCCAATAAACCCTGAATCCCTGCAAGCTTTCCCCTCTTCTTCTGGTCCTAGCAGCTCTGATTTAATGCTTTTTATGTATTAGGGTTCCACTAAAAAATGGAGGGTTCTGCTGATTATTTAAAAAAAAAAAAAAAAAAGGGTTAAGAACCTATCTCTTCTGAAAAAAGTAGTTTTTCCCCTAACAAGACCACCTTGACCCAAGGCAACCTACCTCCATTTGAATACATTTTAGAATTATTTTCTACTATATGTTTATAGTATATCTATCTACATACTTCTTTCACTTATTCAGCAACTGGACTTATTCAGCAACTGGACCAAAAAAATGTGGTAGGAAATGGGGTCAAAGATAAATAACTTGTTGTTTAAGAGACTCATATTCTAGTTAGTACAACTAAATGTGCAAAGAAAAGAGAATGAAGTGCTGAGAGTACGCAGTGCTAAAAGGTAAAGTCAGCTGTGGAAAATGGGACTGGAATAGAATGGACATGTCAAAAGACTCATATTTGAGTAAGACACTAAAAAGACATTACAGTTTTATGAAAGGTGATAAAAAGTAGTGGCTAAGGACAGACTGCAGAGTCCCACTGTTTGTGTTTAATCTTGGCTCCACCAAGGTTAATGACTGTATAACCTTCATCAAAATACTTGACTGCTGTCTCAGTGTCCTCATTTTTAAAATGGGGAAAATAATACATGCTACCTCTTTTGGCTATTGTAAAATTTAATGGGTTGTTAAATGTAAAGTGCTTTAAATAGCACCTAGTACCTAGTAGATATGGGATGTACAAATCAAGTGGTATTATCACTAAAAATGGAGAACGAAAGAGAACTTAAGTATGGTCACAAAGTTTCATAAAGTGAAAAATAAAAGAACGGTCTACTCCAATAATAAAATTCTTAAATGTTTACTCACTCGCATACTGGACCTCCGTAATTTCTTACGAACATCTCTTCGAATATCATTCACAGCGACAGATTCTAACTGTTGATAACGCTGAATTTCTTGGTTTATGGTCCCTTCACTTGCACCTAATTTTCTGGATGCAAAATAAATACCGCAATTAGTATAAAGGGGTGACAGAGTAAGATTGATTTATATTTGCTCCCTTTTAATTCTTTCACTTTCAGAATATCAAAGATATATGGACAGGCCAAAATCCTTAAAGTTAACACTCATACCTAGTAAACTGTTAAAAAGCTCTCTAATATTTTAGGAAATAGCTCTTTCCCACTTCCGCATTAATAGCTTCTGTGACAATCTCATGAAAGCTATGGACTCACTCTGCAGAATAATGTCTGAATGTAAAATTATACATATATTTAAGCCTCAGGTAAAATTTAGAGGGAGGATGTATATTTTGCTACAAGTCACTTTTAACCCCCAAGAGCAAAACTCACACTGCAATGTAAGTCAACAGGAAAATGTGAATCATTGTATCATAATTAATTTACAGATCACTTTTTAGGTAATACCTTTCATTGTACAAAATGCACATTATTTGTTTAGAGTTCCTGAATGCAAAAACCACAGACACAGGTGGTATATGAAGATCAGAAAAGATGAGGCATGACTATCACCTTTTGGGAAAACAAAAATTTCAAAGTTTGACGATTAGGATACTTTGTCTTCTAGAGCAAGTATTATTTAATCAATAATATGCAGCAGGCAATAGATAAAGAAAAAAATATTACCACCACCTACTCCCGACCTCCCTACTCACCTTATATCCATCTTAGTTTTAGAGAATTGTTAATACAAGCAGGCAAAAATAAAAAACATGAACTCTGACTTCAGACACACACAAGTTCAAATCCCACTTCTTTAACCTCTCTGAGCCAGTTTTCTCATCTATAAAGTTTGGATAATGCCATCTAACCTCACAGAAATCTTGTGAGGATTATACTGAAATAACATGTCAGTTCACAATTGGTACTTAATAAATGCTAAATTTGTTTCCTTCCTTAAAAATTTACATTCCAGACACGTGCTGTGATGAGCACTGGGTGTTATATGCAACTAAGGAATTGCTGAACACTACATTCAAAACTAATGATGCACTGTATGTTGGTTAACTGAACATTAAAAAAAAAATTTTACATTCCAGAAATACCAATGTTAGCAAAAGACTAACACGTATGTTAATATACATAGGTGAAGGTATATTTAGATATATATACACATATGTAGAGATATGTATATATGATACATAGTCTGTCATTAAACTGCCCAGAAATGGGGAGTTGCGATGAGAACTGGACAGAACTTCACACCTAACTTTGTCAGTAAGGAATGTATGATCTCAGGCAAGTTATCAAACTCTACTGGACCTTGGTGATCTCATTTATAAATTAAGGGGGGTATACTGGCCCAAATCCAGTTTTCTCCCTATTTAAAATTCTATGATTCCATTATTAAAAATATTATATTAAAAATCATTACACATACTTAAGATCATCTATTACTTTTGCCTGTTCATTCAGTTCTCTGATATCGACTATACGCTTCATAATTTTTCTTCCTCTAAGTTCTCCTGGCTGGCTACAAGATGCTCCTTGTCTTCGATAATCTACAGCTTCCTGAAAAATCAAAAGCATGTCTGTCAATACCACTTTCAGGTCACACCACAAATCTATACTATCACAAGAATAACACCTTAAATCAAAGGAAGCATGCAAGAATCAAAGCCATCTATATCAAGTAAGATGATTGGAATTCTCCAGTGATTCAAATCCCTTCATTTTCACAAGGAATCTATGTAGCTGCTACCTACATTTCCCCATGAGTGAGCTCTGCATGCTTTCAAATGGGACTGGCTAGACTGAGGGGAGCCCCACATCTCTGGGTCACACAGATACTCTGCAGGAACAGAATGGCGCTGATTTGGGGGCGTCAGGCCTAGCAGGTGATTTACAAGTCGCTGCCCAAAGGTGAGCTTGTGGCCATCTCCACTTACTGAACTTCCATCTGAACTCTAAATAATAAACAGTAACATTAATTTTTTTAAAAATTTCTTTCCAAGAACAAGACTATTTCATGAAACAGTTAAAAGATATTTTAAAAATGTTTAAACCAATATCAGAATAAAAGCCGAGAGTAACTTGCTTTTAAACTACCAAATAATTTATACTATAAAATATACAGTACAGAGGGAAATACATTTTTTAAATGTATATTTTGTTTACATGCAATTTGCTTTTCAGATTCATTTTTTAGCATCTTTATTGAGATATAATCCACATGCTATAAAATTCACCCATTTAAAATGAACAATTTATTGGTTTTGAGTATATTCACAAAGTTGTACAACTGTCACCACAATCTGTTTAGAACATTTTCACCACCCACCCCCAAATGAAACCTCATAACTAACAGCAGTCTTTCTCCATTCCCCATCCCCAACTCCCCCAGCCCTCAGCAACCACTAATGTACTGTCTGTCTCTACAGGTTTGCTTTCACTTTGTTTTTACCGTTAGTACATTACCTATAGGTTAGGGTACAAGTCTGTTGACAGCTAATAAGAAAAGTATCAATGAAAAGATAATATTATGAAATTTTAAAAAATTATAAAATATAGACACAGGAAACCATCACTCTCTTCCTTCCTCTACAATTATCAACTACAATATAATAAATAACATTAAGTCAATCTTTTCCCTGTCTCAGGGTAAAGGCCAGTCCAGAAAAGTCTAACAGTGAATGTACTTACAGTATGGATAGTGGGAGACATAGTATCAACTTCATCCTCATCTGACAGGTCAGCTATGTTCACTGAATTTAGATCAGCAATGTCATCTATGTCCTCCTCTCCTGTCAGTGTTGTAAGGGTATTGCCCAGAGCATTAAGTCTTTTGCCAATGTTAGGATCCATATGGACATCGATCCCACACATCTTCCACAAAACATTGAGTGTCCACGTTCCAGCACTACTACTTTCTGTTTAAATAAAGAGAAGTGGCATTTTTGGTAAGTCTTGAGTTCAGATATTTAAATCAATCTATATTTCAGGAATAAAATGGATGATGGCCTTATTTAACAACTAATCTCTCTCACAACTAGGTCTGGGATTGATTTCCCTCTGCAGAGTGTGCACCTTTGTTTCCTCTGTGCAGCACCCTTCTTTCTCCTGTGAACAATGGCTTCCCTCTTCTCCCCAATCCTGAACTGATCTACCCTCCCATGGCTACAATGGGAATTTCCATGACCCTCACTCATTAGCCAGAATTAGATAAGTAGGCCAGGTGAGAGTCAAAGTTGGAAATCTAAAAACCCTTCTCTGGACTTCAGGGAAAAAAAAAAAAAAAGGTCCCTTTTCTAGTGCTTGAGGGAGGGGGAATGAAGCTCATTGGGCTATTAGCAGCCACATCTTCTGGCATGTGTAAGGAGAAAGTCAGAAGTATGAAGAAAATGAAGCAGCCAGAGAGGAGCAAAGAAGAAAGCCCTGGTGGCAGTCGAAATCTTGGATCCAGGAGTTCCTGAGAGCCTCTGAACTGACCTTGGTCCTTATCTTCACTGAGATAGCCATTTAGAAGCTTAACTGTGATCTGCATTATCCTTTTAATAAACTCTCCCTTTCGGTTAAGCTAGTTTGCATGGGTTGTTGTCACTCATAAACCAGAGTCCTGACAATGATTTTTATGTGACCCTTCTCCAAATACATATACATTTACCTCAGTTATCACCCATTTCTTCTAACATTACTCCTGGAAATTTCCTAACCTTTTCAGTTCTTCATCAATGGGACTGTTGGCCTTGCTACTTTCTGAGGCAAGTTACTTAGGATGAGCACCAAGGCTAGGTTTGGGGAGGATAACAAGAAATAGTAAGGAGAGAAAGGAATTCTACTAACTTTAATCAGCTTCTACTCGCACAGACATTTTGAGAGCCCTTAAATAGCTCCCTTTAGCTCACCCTTACTCTTTACCAAGTAAAATCAATAAAAATTTACATTGTACTATCATCTTAGTCAAAACAGATTATAACTTCTATAGTTATCTTCTAACCAGTTTCCCAAGATTTTTTTTCCTTTCTAATCCTTGAAAGTGTCTGCTTTCTTGATCACAAAAATTCAGTGGCTCTCCCACTTTCTACCAAATTAAGTTCAGACTCCTTATTATCCTTTAATATTTTTCCCATATTACTTTTCACATAACTCTGTCTACCCAGTCTGGACAATTCTGACTAGACACTGGTTTCACAGCATAACTAATATTCTGTCTGCCTGAATTTTCTGACCCATACCCTTCCAGGTTTTGCTTTAGAAACAATTTTGTCTGTCAAGTCCCTGTTCAAATACTTGTTAAATATTAAAAGAAGCTTTCTCTGGGCCACCTGGGTAGCTCAGTTGGTTAAGTGTCTGCCTTTGGCTCAGGTCCTGATCCCAGGGTCCCGGGATCAATCCTGCCTTCGGGCTCCCTGCTCTGTGGGGAGCCTGCTTCTCCCTCTGCCTCTCTCTCTGCCTCTTATGTCTCTAATCCTAGTATCTCTCCAAATTTGAATTTTTTCTCTTTCCTCAGATTTCAGAAGCAATTAGAATTTCATATTTTATTGAACTTACCACTTATAGCTTAGTCATGCTGCAGAGCCTCAACTGCATTAGAATTCAAATTTATACAGAGTAGAAAAGTATACCTTGCCTTTGTCTTTCCTAAAACTTTTTGCAGTATATCAGCAAGTGTCTAATAAATGATTGTTAAATAGATAAAAATATGCTAATATTATTATAAAAATGGTTTTTTAAAATCAGGGAACACCAGAATTAAAGACTCAAGGTTAATATAAAGGCCTTATCTATGTGTGTATATATGTATATTTACATATATAGGTATAAAAAAGCAGAATTCTAACTTATTTATGTAAAAAAGGTAATACCAGTCATGAACTTACCAGCAGCTGCTTGTCCTGTAGTCCTAGAACATACTTCATAGGTGCCATCTGGAACTACACCTGCATAAAATCACCCCAAAAATAGTTTCCAATAAAATTATGCTTGTGATTAAATACTATATTATAATTAAATACTGTACTATAATACCAAAGATTATTATCTAAATATAAATAAGATCACTAGCTTCTTTAGGTCTCAATTTCTAAACTGCAGAATGAAACATGAAACATCTACCTTAGATGTCTTATAATATTCCGTATCTCAACATTTTTTATTTTATGCTTTTAAGAATTTAACTGCAGCTTTATCTTTACACTCTGCATGTGACAATACCTGACTGACTCTGAAACTCTAGTTTCCAGATGCTATGATAATTTGTGCCATCCTGTGAATGGCACTTTGAGAATGCAGATGGTTTAAAAATAATTTTCTGTTAATAAGAACTTACACATTTAGGTCACAGACACGATTTATTAGCCTTGTCTTTCCATGGATCATTTTATGAGGAAAAAAATGACTGACTGCCATGATGTCAGTCTCATAACAATTAAGCTCCTAAGGTCATGGACCTATCCCCGGAACATATCTAACTTTAACTCTGAAAAATTTACTACCACTTAGCTTTAATCTGATAACTTCAACTTAAAAAAAAAAAAAAAAAAAGAAATAAAGAAAAAAAAGAAAAAAAAGAGGTGAACTAAATCAACAATTTTAAACAGTAAAGGGGCAATACCATCTTTGAGACAACTTTTCAAAAAGTGAAGCCTAAGGAACAGGATTAAGACTCTTTCTCAGTAATCCTTCATAGAAACAAAATTTCAGTCTAAACCTGACAGTCATAAATCTTAAATGAAATGTCCTTTTACAATTCATTCTGTAACCTAAGTTGCTATTCAAATGTTACTCAAATCTGAGTTGCAGAAATACTATAGCTTATTTTGAGAGAAACAGTCTATTAAGTGACAATATCTATTATGTAGGTTTTTAAAAGATAGTGCCAATAACTTTAAAATCTAAATTATATTTTTGAACCATATGGTACCTATGCTTCACATACAAATTACAGAATTTGAGAGAACAATGTCTTGTCTTAGGGTAAAAGATTGCCTAATTAACCTTTAAAGTCATGGTTATAAATCAGAACAAAAGGGACTGAGGTAACTCTTTCAAATCTAAGAATGCTATAATGAAAAGAAAACCTTCTGAAATTTGAGGAACATAATGGAGGCCAAATGAAAGCTAGTTTAAAAAAAAAAAAGGTAGAAAACTTCTAGGACTTTCAATCCCAAGAATTTTAGAGAATTTTTAAAAATTAATTTTTAAAAAATTACATAAATTCATATATTACAGAGCCATGATAAATTAAAAAGGAATATTAAGATTTTGGGGAGTAGATCCAAATCTTCAAAGTGAGGAGAAGGAAATCAGTTAGGCTCTTCCCTGTTTTGCCTATGGTCTCTGAGTCAGAGACAGAATGCTGAGTTGGATCAACCATTAGTCTGAATCCAGGATAGCAATTTTCCTGCTCTTTTGATCTCATGTTACCCAGGTGTTAACAGAGAGCTTGAGGCTTTCAAACATCTCCTTTACTCCCCTCCACCTCATAGTACAGTTTCAAACTTTAATGGCTTATATAATTTTTATAAATGAATGTTAGTGAAGAGTCTGATCTTTTCTATCTACTTATATGGTCCTTTGAATCCTATATACAAATTTTTCTAATTTTTACTGCACTTCCTAGAAAACATTATCCCCCTATAGAGGCAATTCACCCAGATCACCTTTTTTCCTAGGGCCTGATTTTAAAATGATCTGTTAAAAAAAAAAATCCTACAGCATAACTCTACTGTTCGTTGTTTCTCTACCCTAATTCAAATCTTTCTTAAAATACTTAATGTCATTTCTGTTCTATTTATTATTACTAATAAAAAACTATTTTGCCCCTGTTATAATTTAGAATATTTGTATCAATAAAAAAAATACTCAACTCTTCTGCTTCCTTCCCAAGACACCAAACAAAAAGCATGTCATAAAGACAAGTCATTTAGTAGCCTACAAAAACTAAAATAAATAATTTTCAGCATATTAGTATTCTACTTAGTTGGTATAATATACACTGAGGTGCTGAGTTATTATTTATAGATTTTTAATATATGTTTTTGATTTTGATTCAGGGGCATATTTCTCAGGCATTTTCCCTTTATAATAAACTGTTAAGGAAATGGTATTCTCTCTTTGCTTCCAAATACATGTATCCATTTTAATGATTATAAAAAAGGTGAAGATATCATCTTACTAGAAATCAGTAATTTAATTTTGAGAAAAAAAAAGACACAAAAGTTATTAGTGACTTTTAAAAATATATGTAACAACTGTATAGAAGCTTATTTGTAAAGATTTCTGATGAAGGCTATTTTTCTTATGAATTTTAGGCATAAGTACTTTGATATCAAGTCCTCCTAGTAACTTGAAGTATTTCACAGAAATTCCACTATTTTACCTATGGATTATTTAAGTGAGAAGCAGTCACAACAGAATTTCACCCATAATTTTATCTAGGTTTTAGTCAAAGTGAAATGCCAAAACTTCAATTTTTGATATAAAAATTATGAAAAGTTTTCTTGTTCTTTAAAGATCCAGAACTGGGAAGAAGATTTTCTTCCAATGGAGAAGGGAAAAAAAACTGCATAAACAACAGCATACCACCTTTTATAAAGTAAGTATTAATTTTGGTTTAGAGACTGGCTGAGGAATTTTAGTTTCCAACCTTTAATTCCTCAAACAGTTTTTCTTTACTAGAAGATTAATGATGATTTATTAACTCTGCTATAACATTTCTTATATTAAAATAAAAATAAAACCACATACCTTCAAAACTGTATATAAACACAGCTTTAGTTACACCCAATCTTGAGTATTATGGAATCAATGGAATTCATACAAGTTACACATTGTAGCTTACAAATTTAGACATGTGAATTTATTCGTATCAATATTATTTTATGGCTGGAGTTCCTGTTTATGGTTATCTACAACCTGTTGATCTATGTCATATGATGAACTGGATCTTGCACATTTATCACTTCCTTTGAAGATCCCCACAGAGCAAAGATGCTTTATCTGGTCATTCACGAATCAATCATAGGAAAAAATCAGGTAGTAAACGAATCTTCAAATGCTAGACTGTCAAGAAGAATGCCTAGTTGATTCATTTACCAAAACTACTGAAAGCTGCAGTTTTTCACAAATATGACCTATCTTTAACTAAAAAGAGCCCTTATTTCAGAAAGTCCAATAACATTCCTATAAGCTAAGCATCTTTTGGTTTTACAAATGAAGACACTGTTTTTCTGCTTTTTTTTTTTTTTTAATTAAAAAAAATTCTAACCCTCATGTAGAAAATAAAAGGCACTCACAGGCATTCATCACTAGATCGCCACGAATTTCTGGTTTCCAGTCATCCCACGACGTCTCAAAGCCATCAGCAAAACGAATACAAAAGTTTTTGAAATGCCCTTTACTAACCAGAGATTCTGAAGAACAAGCAGTGATGAGAGTACTTTCAATGGTCAATACTAAAGCAGAACCAATGTCAAGATCTCCAGTGTGATTAGACTGCAAAATATATTAAAAAATAAAAGACAAAATGTTTTAAATTTGGAAATTCTCACAGGATTCATTGGAACAAAAGTTTAGAAAAAGTCAAGACTAGAAATCTTCACTAAAAAGCAGCTTAGAAAGTTGTCTACTTTTAAAACTTAAATTGTTGAAGTGAATACATATGCCATGAGCATCTTTTCTTTTTATTATGTTCAATTAACCAGCATATAGTTCATCATTAGTTTTTGATGTAGTGTTCAATGACCCATTAGTTGTGTATAACACCCAGGGCTCATCACCACACATGCCCTCCTTAATACCCATCATCTGGTTACCCCATCCCACCAACCTCTCTTTTCTGTAACCCTCGGTTTGTTTTCAGAGTCCAGAGTCTCTCATGGTTTGTCTCTCTCTCTCTCTAATTTCTTCACATTCAGTTTTCCCTCCTTTCCCCTATGGTCCTCTATGCTATTTCCTTATGTTCCACATATGAGTAGAATATTAATTGTCTTCATCTTTTTTTTAACTTGCAAAAGGTTAAAAAAGGTTAGAGGAGAGAGCATGAGAAGTTGAGGGGGAAAGGGAGACAATCTTAAGCAGGCTCCATTTGGCATAGAGCTCCAGCAGGACTCCACGTGAGTCTCCATGTGGGGTTTGGTCTCACTACCTTGAGATCATGACCTAAGCTGAAATCAACAGTGTGACACTTAATTGAGCCATAGAGGTGCCCCTAATTATCTAGTTTTCTATCCCAAGCTTCTGTTTTAGACAACTGCCTCTGGTGTATATGGCTTTCCTGAGCTCTGTCCATAATGCCATTAAAAAAACAACATTCTTCAACTCCTGAGGCATGTTGTCAATCACTGACCCAGAATTTTTCTTCACAATGTCTTGCTTAACAAATACTAAAAGTTAAACTCATTCAGCAACTGGTTATAGGTTAAGGTAAATTTTAACAGTAAAACAAACCTCTGAATTTGATATAATTGTAACCTCTTAGGTTCAACCCTTGATAGGGGTTTCTAGTCCTCTGTTTGTCTCATATGCATGTCCATAAATTATGAAAATTCTTGCTTTATCTGGTATACATAACTTGGAAATTTCATTACCATTAAATATGGCAGCTTAAAGGCATTTTGAAATCCTCCACCCTATTTTAGATGAGGTTACTAAACATTAAACAAAATTCTTAAATGTTCTTTTGCTTCTATTTCATTAACAATTATATGCCAAAGACTTGTTCGTTAAAAAACAAAATAAAAAGATTCTGAAAACTAGCTGCTTATTTTTCCAGGTAAAAATTAAGATTCACTAGAGCACCTGGGTGGCTCAGGGGGTTAAGCCTCTGCCTTTGGCTCAGGTCATGAACCCAGGGTCCTGGGATCGAGCCCTGCATCGGGCTCTCTGCTCAGAGGGAAGCCTGCTTTCCCCTCTCTCTCTGCCTGCCTCTCTGCCTACTTGTAAACTCTCTCTCAGTCAAATAAATAAACAAAATCTTAAAAAAAACTTAAGATTTATCATATAGGTATCAATCTCGTCATAATTCTGTGGCAAAGTGCTTCTGAGCAAAGTCTCATGAGATTCATATTTAATACACTAAGGATGAATAATGGCTGAAGGAATCCAATCTTACTTGCTATTTACTAAACTCAAGTTATAAACTGTTAATCCAAAAAAAATTATTATACTCTATATACACAGAAATGGTAAGTAGAATGCTGTATTCTTAATCTTGGACTATGATTTGATTTTGTACCTGTGCAGTATTTGTGATGGGCAGGCATATTCCCAGATCATTCACAGTAAGCTGGAGGAAGAGAGTCCCAAAGGCCTGGGCTGATGTTTGCTGGATACCTGGTAGCATATCTACTACCTCCTTTGTAGCCATATGAATATCTTTATGTAAAGCCATTCGTTGTTCATTCCAGTTGTCATAGGCGGCCTTATAATTCAGCCAAAACAGCACAGCTTTTTATAATTAAGGTGGATTGGAAAGAAAATTAAAATCAAAGCTGTAAGGCTAGAAGGCAAGTAAAACTCAGTAGTTGTAAAATCTGGCTGATTAGTAAAAATTACTCCCGTGAGAAAATTATAGCATTAGAATTAGAAAGGATCTAAGAGGATATAGTCAATTTGACAAATGAAAGCAGGCAACTGCATAATGGCAGAAAGAAGAAAACATTCCAGGTCCATTTTTTCACTTAACAGATTATTTGTGAAATGCCTATTAGATGTTATGCATTAGGATGCAACAGAAATGATATGAAAACAGAACATGGTCCCTGACCTTATAAAGCTTGCTGTTATACTGTTAAAAATTCTTGAAGGAGAGAAACCTAACAGTAGGAGTATACATTAAAAAGATATGACCTGCAAAGAGAGGCCAAGACATCGGAGTCTGTAACAAGAATGGAACCTTAAGGAAAACCTTCATTTAATGCAGCATAAAGAAGGAGGAACCTAAAGAGGGAGAAAATTGAAGGGGTTAGGGAAGCAGAAGGAAAAGCAAGTGTCATGGACACAAAGAGTAGAAAATACTTTAAGGAGTTGTTGAAAGCTGATGACAGGTTAGTAAGATGTGAAATGAAAAAAAGTGCACAGAATTTAGCAAAATAAAACATTATCTATAACACTGCCAAAAGAATAGTTTTCTAACAGACTTATCACCAGCTAATGCCTACCACCAATTTAAATCTTAAATGGTTTCATAAATGGTTCTTCATTACTTCTATATTTCTAACATATAGGCCCAATATACATAAATTAAACTCTATCTGTTCAGTCTTATTTCCTATTATTTTCTTTTATGAAAACTGCTACATGTTTTAGGCTACTGTATTAATATATATTCATTCATATTCTCTCTCATTTGGTAAATATTTATTTAGTTATTACTATAAGCTAGGGACTGTTCTAGACTGTCATATACAAAGGTAAATAAGACTAGCTTCATTTCCTTGTCTCCCTGGTGAACTCCTGACTCCAAGTCAAATCTGAAGGATTCGTTTCTCCTCTTAGAAGCACAGGCAAAGTTAGAAGACTCCCTCAGTTGGGGAATAGGTATCTCCAACTCCTCTCTGTAGTGTACTTTGCTCTCTCCCATTGGACTGAGAGGTCCTTGAGGGCAGGGATCCTGTTTTCTATATCTCTATTCCACTTCCAGACAGTAAATGTTTACAGAATAAATGAATAAAGACAGTGCCAGAACAAATGGGTGCAATAGTTTTTGAAACCAAAAACCTAGCATTACAATTGAAATTCTGAATCAGACATCCTATATACCCATGTAGAAAAGAAATGACTTTAAAATGTAAAGTAAGTTTAAAAAATGAATAAGCAAAACACTTTTCCTGGATGCTCACATTTCAGAATTAGGAGATGTTCAGCTATCAAGCATTTACACTGGTAAACTACAGATGATTTTTATCCAACATTGCCAAAACATTTTTAAATCCAACAAGATAGTGTTGATGGACTTTATCTTACCTCTGTCAAAGGCCACAGGTTGTGCATAAACAATTGGTCTATTCAAGGTAATAAGCACAGCTTCCCTATCTGAAGAACCACTGATTTCTTCTCGGAGGGCATTTCTTAATCCAATTCTGGTTTTAAAATAGGCAACTTGATGAAAATCAGAACCAGCTTCCTCATAAACCTAAAATAAAATTAAAAGCTCAATAAAAGCAAGTAATGGAAGACATTTTGATAAAAAACCTGAAAGTTTTAACAATTAATAGTATTATTCATCAAATGAACTACTGTATACTTTTCTCAATTTTATTTGTCAATGATACATTCCTTATATTCTGTACCATAAACACCTGAAATTAATAAAGAACATGAATGGGTAAATAAGAAGTAGTATGAAGTCATACATAAAATTCATAGAAAAGCTAGGACAAGGTCCATATTCTTTTTGTTTGTTTGTTTTGTTTTTTTATTTGACAGAGAACACAAGTAGGCAAGAGAGGCAGGCAGAGAGAGAGGGGAAAGCAGGCTTCCCTCTGAGCAGAGAGCCCAATGCAGGGCTCGATCCCAGGACCCTGGGTTCATGACCTAAGCCGAAGGCAGAGGCTTTAACCCACTGAGCCACTCAGGTGCCCCAAGGTCCACATTCTTTTTTTTTTTTTTTTTTAAGATTTTATTTATTTGTTTGACAGAGAGAGAGATCACAAGAAGGCAGAAAGGCAGGCAGAGAGAGAGGAAGGGAAGCAGGCTCCTGCTGAGCAGAGAGTCTGATGCGGGGCTCGATCCCAGAACCCTGGGATCACAACCTGAGCCGAAGGCAGAAGCTTTAACCCACTGAGCCACCCAGGTGCCCCTCAAGGTCCATATTCTTAATGTCAACATATTAACTATTCTAAGATAATTAGATCCTTTCTTTTCTTAATATGTGTTTCCATTTGGAAAAAAATTACTGTTTTTTTAAAGATGGCAAGAAATTTTTCTTCATTTATTTCTCCACATAATGTTTAACATAGCCATTCAATTTAGAAAGTACGGCTGATATTCCTTTAATTAATTCTTCAAATAAAAGAAGGAAAAAGGTTAAAATCTACATAATAATTTCTAGCAAAATAAGAATAACAAAAAATGCCCCAATGAGCTATCAAAATTTTATTTTTATAAAACAAAATTTGATTTATTGCTGTGAATGTGTATGTATGTATGTGTGTAAAACTTTGTATACGTATATACACATACATGTATAGACATATATACACACATGTGTAGACATATATACAAATATGTGTGTACATACATACGTAAAACCTGGTATATGTAAAACTTTCTATGTTTAACATTACAGTATGCAAAACCTGCCAATATTAAACAGGCAGTTAAGAAACTTAGTAACATTTTAAAAACTGACCAATTGTTAGTACAGAGTGCTAAAATAAAAAAAAAAATTCTAACAAAATCAAGAGCAATTATAAACAAGTATTTATGAAGATGCTGAATTAAGCTTCATGAGATTGCACTTGCACTAAACTATAGCAATATACCACCCAAAAACACTCAATGAAATGCCAAACTAAAACAGTAAAGGCCTCCTTTTTTTTTTTTTTTTTAAAGATTTTATTTATTTGACAAAGAGAGAGAGATCACAAGTAGGCAGAGAGGCAGGCAGAGAGAGGGGGAAGCAGGCTCCCTGCTCAGCAGAGAGCCCCATGCAAGGCTCCATCCCAGGACCCTGAGACCATGACCTGAGCCGAAGGCAGAGGCTTAACCCACCAAGCCACCCAGGTGCCCCATGTAAAGGCCTTCTTAAATGACGTTTCTCTCCAATTTAAAATTGAAAATTTAGGAATGTTAAATTCTTTTTTAAAGTATGGTAATAAAGTAATTCAAGTTTATATACAAAATTTAAAAGCCAAAGTTCTAATATCAGCATATTCTGTACTCACTTGATGTTTGACAATTTGTCCTAATGCCAGATTTAAATCCACTTGACATTTACCAAACAGTTTCAGATAGCTGCTACTCCCTGGTGAAGCTTTGGTTTGAAGTCGGTTCGAAAGTTCCAGCTCTATCAATCCAGTTTCAAATCTCACAGCTCTCATTGATGGAGTAGTGGCTGTTACTTGAATACCCTAGAGCAGATTATAGGTTAGGAGGAAAAAAATAATCTTAAATCAACAGTATGCACTCACTCAAATGAAACCTTTCGATACGATAAAGTAGCCATGTTTTAAAACACACATGGGCTGTCTAAAGATCTGATAAAACTGGAAACATTTTTTAATTTCTCGTATTAGTAGGGAATTTTTTAACTCCTAAATTTTATTTTAATATTTTGTCCTTAACATCTGAACCATTCATGAGTTAAATACATTAATTATAATTAATCATTAGATAACAGTATTTTTAACACTGCTCTTTTTTTTTTTTAAGATTTTATTTATTTATTTGACAGACAGAGATCACAATCAGGCAGAGAGGCAGGCAGAAAAAGAGGGGGAAGCAGGCCCTCCACTGAGCAGAGAGCCTGATGTGGGGCTTGATTCCAGGACCCTGAGACCATGACCCGAGCCGAAGGCAGAGGCCTAACCCACTGAACCACCCAGACGCCCCAACACTGCTATCTTAAGTACTGGAAATACTAAGGTTTCTATTAAGGTACTAATGTTAAATGGACAAATGTACAAAATACTTCTTACAGAGTAACTTACAGCTATAATAATTAGAAAAAATTGATATATTTATCAGAAGGGAGCAGTTAAATAAATTGTTACAACTGTATAAAAAATGGTACAGCTATTAAGGAAGATAAAGTTAATCTATATGTTCTGACATGAAAAGGTATCCAAGCACAAATATATGCATAAACATATGCATATATAAAAGTACAAACAGAGAAAAGTCCTAAAGGACATTCAATTGCTAAAGCTTTTCCTCTTCAGTGGATGGGGTCATACTTCATTTTTATTTTCTACTCGCACATTTATGTATAATATGAATTCCTTTAACTAGAATACATTAAATACTTAAAAAATACTTCAAAAAGTATAATTACTTATATGTTACCTTAAACTGCAAGTTCAGGGAATAGAGTAGAATTTTAGGCTTATCTCCATCTGTTGTTCCATCATGTTCATTCCAAAGAGGAATAGGCTGCTCCCCACCTAAAGAGATTAAATAATTGAGGGTCTGGGGCAATCACTTTAAGAGGAAAATAATAATTTTGTTCAAAAACAGTTATTTTCTTTTTTCTGATCATTAACTTATTCTTTAGTACAGACTGTAGCCATGACACATTTCACTGACACAGATTTTTGTAAGTTAGGGATAATACTGCATATATAGGCATTTATTAAGAACATTTTATAAGGACTAAAAACATTATGTGTATAATTAAACAAATGTAATTATATATCTCAGAAAATTTATCTGAGGGGAAAAAAGTAAACTGAATTGATTTCTTTAACCAAATATGTGAACCTGTTGTTTACATTTATATATGCTGCAAACAAGATTAAAAGAAAAAATAAAGGTGATGAAATTTTAAAATAAGGTAATACGTGCTAATAATAAAGAGTGTGACAGCAAAGGTTTGTCCTACAAATTAAAAAAAAAAAAAGGGAGGAAAATTTCCTCAATTTGAAAATATCTACAAAGGTCTACAGTTAAAATGATATGCTCAATCGTGAAAAGCCTGAAACTTCCCTAGGCTTAGATAAAGTATAAGGCAAGGATGACTCCTCTTACCATTTCTGTTCAACATCATATGTAAAGTCCTAGCTAATGCAATAATACAAGAAAAGGAAAGAAAAGATACAGAGATTGGGAAGGAGAAAATAAAATTGTCTTTGTTGTTCACAAATGACAAGATTATATATGTGGAAAATCTGACAAAACTGACAAAAAAAAAAAAAACTGCTGGAACCAATAAGGGATTATTGCAAGGCTATAGGATTACAAGGTTACAGGTCAATCACTTTCCTGTATACTGTATACTGTATAATGAAGAGTAGAATTTGAAGTTAAAAACACAATGCCACTTATATTAACATCACAAAAATTAAGTTAATCAGGTATAAATTAACAATATATGTATAAGATCTACATGAGGAAAACTAAAATTCTGAGGAAAAGTATCAAAGAAGAACAAAATAAATGGAGAGTTATTTCATGTTCATAGACAAGAAAACTCAATATTGTCAAGATGTCAGTTCTTCCCAATTTCAGTTTTAAATTCAATGTGATTCCAATAAAAATCTAGCAAGTTATTTTGTGGATATCAACAAATTGATTCTAAAATATGTATGGAAAGACAAAAGACCCAGAATAGCCAAGGAGAGCAAAGCTAGAGCACTGACACTTTCTGACTTCAAGACTACAGTAAACAAGGGAGTGTGGGGTTGGTGAAAGAGCAAACAAATAATACAACACTGGAACAAAATGAAAAGCCCAGAAATAGACCCATACAGTGAACTGATCTTTGACAAAAAAGAAAAGGCAATACAATGAAGGAAAGTCAGTCTTTTCAGTAGACGATGCTGGGGTAACTGGATATTGTCATGCAAAAAAAATAAATCTAGACATAGACCTTATACCTTTCACAAAAATTAACTCAAAATGGATCACAGACCTAAATGTAAAATGTAAAACAATAAAAGTCCTATAAAATAACATAGGAGAAAACATAAATAACCTTCCATTATGGTGAGGACTTTTTAGATACAACACCAAAGGCATAATCCATGAAAGAAAGAATTGATAAACTGTACTTCACTAAAATTAAGAGCTTCTATTCTACAAAAGACAATCAAGAGAATGAGAAGATAAACTGTAACTGGGAGAAAATACTTCCAAAAAATACATGTGATAAAGGACTGTTGTCTAAAATATGCAAAGAGCTCTAAAAACTAAGAAAGATAATAAACATGATTAAAAAATGGGCCAGGGGCACCTGGGTGGCTCAATGGGTTAAAGCCTCTGCCTTCGGCTCAGGTCATGATCCTGGAGTCCTGGGATTGAGCCCCACATCAGGATCTCTGCTCAGCAGGGAGCCTGCTTCCCCCTCTCTACCTGCCTCTCTGCCTGCTTATGATCTCTGTCAGATAAATGAATAAAATCTTAAAAAAAAAAAAAAAAGATGGGCCAAAGACCTTAATAGACATTTCACCAAAGAAGATACACAGATGGTAAATAAGCACAAGAAAAGATCCTTTACAGAGCATCATCATATCATCAGAAAATGAAAATTAAAACAATACTAAGATACCACTACAAATCCATTAGAATAGCCAAAATTTGGAACACTGAAACACCAAATGCTGATAAGGAGATGAAGCAGCAATATCCCTCATTCATTCTTGGTGAGAATGCAAAACAGTATAGCCACTTTGGATGACTTTTGGTAGTTTCCTATTAAATTAAACATATTCTTACCATATGATCCAGCAATCATACTCCTTGGTTGCAATCCAAAGGAGCTAAAAATTTATGTCCACACAAAAACTTGCATACAGATGTTTGTAGCAACTTTATTCATAATTGCCAAAATATGGAAGCGACCAAGGGAGGGATAAATAGGTGGAGCACTAAGAAGTTTTAGGGCAGTGAAACTACTCTGTAGGATACTATAATGGTAGATACATGTCATTATTCATTTGTCTAAAGCTACAAAGTGTACAACACCAAGAGTGAACCCTAATGTAAACGATGGACTTTGGGTGATAATGGTGTGCTGATGCAGATTCATCAGTTGTAACTCATGAGCCAGTCTGGTGGGGAATGTTGATAATGGGGGAGGCTATACATGACTGGAAGCAGGAGATATCCGGGAATTTCTGTAATTTCCCTCAATTTGCTGTGAAACAAAAATTGCTCTAAAAAGTTAATTTTTTAAAAAAGTCTATTTGTTTTGTTGATCCTATCACTGCCTTGAGTATCTTTTACGTAGTCACAGAAAATTTTTTTTCTTAAAATTTAAAAGAGTTTTGCCTCTTACAAAATATACTGCACCATAATTTTAGCTTACAGAAATATTAGAGACACTATTAGTCACATTAACTCCACATTTTTTTTAACTTCATTTTAAATTAAATATATAATTGGCCCAATTCTCAGAAGGTAACCTCCTTATATGTTTCTAAGATGGCTGTCCATATTCAAAACTAAATCTCTTCTGTTTACTAGGTCAGTGCTTACCTACATCTTTCTAAAACCCAGGGAGTCTATGGACAGTAAAATTGTAAGAACTGATTCCTCAAAAAAAAGAATTTTACTAACAAACTTAATTATTGCTGTAAATGAGTATTTCTATACAACAGAAAATGCCTAGAGCTAAATTTAACATTAAAGACAAGCATAAGGAAAAAGTGTAAGAAATAAAAGAAATAAGGCAATAACTATGAAGATTATGGGAAAGTAGGGAAGCAATACAGAGATTAGAATACTAAGAAGCTTGGCTACAAGGGTTAAAAGTATTCCCTTTCAATAGCACTCTCCGGTTTTATAAATCTCTGCTCCATAAGGTCCTGGGGCCAGCGAGATGATAAATGACTTACTTTCAGCTCTTTTCCTAGAGTTCACTCTATTGTCAGGAAGGAATGGTTCAGGGATTAGACCTAGCTACTGAATGACTTTGGTATCTGAATTCTTCACAGTGATTAGTAAACATTCATGGTTAGAACATTAATTTCTAGTTTTCCTTTCCAGCTCATTCTTCATAGACCTAGGAATATACTTGCAATTCCTCATTGACTGCAATTTGAACGTGAAGAAAAGCCTTTCCTTATGAAGGGCACGTATTGCATGGACCACTAGGTGTGGTGCATAAACAATGAATTTTGGAACACTGAAAAGAAATAAAATAAAATAAAATAAAATAAAAAAAAAGAAAAGAAAAGCTTTTCTTTCTCCTTCATCAAAACTACCTTAAGGGCAACTCACAGTGCCAGTCTGATACTAGAACTCTACAATGCTAGCTTTTTAACCATCAAAGATTCAAAGTTACTTTAAGAGTCTATTTATTTAAAAAAAAAAGAGTCTATATATTTTTATATGTTTTTTTCATTATATATATTCAGTAATAACAGACTTGAAAATATTCTTTAGAACTCATACAAATTAACCAGCTTAAAATATTCTTAACTTCCGTATCTCAATGTTCTAATGCGATTTTAACCAGGTAAATGGGCCACATCAAAACTTCTGTATATTCCCCAAACAGGGGTACCTTCAGTGGCAGAAAGAACTTTGCTATTTTTTTTTTCTTCCTTACTGGTTTGTATTCAACTATTTTCAGAAAAATTCCAAGGCTACCAATTGAGCTGATTTTTTAAAACTTAACTTGTGAAATTCTATAGCTCTACTGTGCCTCTTCAATATAATCATTTAGTAGTTCCCTGACTTCAGATAAAATCAGAACCAGCCCATGAGAATCAGGAAAATCTGTTGTCCACATGGGTACTACACAATTTAATTTCCTACTGCAATGAGTTTTGTCCCCCTTTGGGGCCTTATTGAATACTTGTCCTTAAGCTCTACCTGCATCTTCTCTACCTCTCCTTTCTTGCCAAAGAGACTTATGAGGTTTGGGAATAGGACTTCCTCTGTAGTCTTTTCTGATTTCTTCAACTAGATTAGCTTCTCCTCTGGCACAGACAGAGCACCCTGTTCTTGTCATTCATAGAACTCATTAAAATTATAATTGAATACCCAAATACTTAATAAATCTGTTAAATGAATGAATTTATGCATCAACATGGAGGAATCTCCTGTTGACAGCAATTTATAGATATGGCTTCACTATTATTTTAACATGATTATGTCCATACTGGAAATATTTAGCCTCAAGAATTCTTATGCAGTCAACTTATTTTCCATTCTAATACCTTTTAAAACTTTATCCTATGAATATGATATACTTATATGTATATGTATATGTAAAGTATATGAATACTTTATCTTATGAATCTTTTTAAAATCAAACATATATTTCCTCTTTAAATGTAAAACTATTATTAAGATGCTCATTTGTAATCTACTCTTGATGCATAGTAAAAATATAAGGGTTGCCACAGATGATTTACTGGGTAACAAGCAGAATCCTCATATGGTATAAAGTTAAAATCTTACATTGATCTAAATCTTGCTCCCAAATGAATAATAATAGTTTGGTTAATAGACATACACTGTTAGCTCTTTTTGTGGGGTGGGTAAGAAGCATAAGGGAGCTTTGTGAAATTTATAAATCGTAAATGTATATATTATACAATGACAAAAGTAATAAGCAAAAGAATCTGTAGGTGGAAAAGCCAGAAAAGGAATGCAGAGTTTTAGGGAGTTACTCAACAACTATATCTAAATGATAAGATCAATATTCATACCATAGATAAATGAAACATCATGGACCCATTAAGAATAAAAATCTGCTATATATTCTATATTACAAGGTACCAGATTATCTTACCAGAAACTTTCTGTATTACTTCATTAACTTCCTTCATGAACACTTTCTGTACAAATACCAAGTGGTTTAGAAGATCAGTTGTGAGATTATGTTCAAAGGAACCAACCTGCCAAGCAAAATCAGAATATTAGATTAACAATACTCACCGTATTTGTTGTAAATACCTCTTTTGTTCACATAGGTCATCCCAAACTCTGAAGAAAGACAATGAATTATCGATATATTATTTGAAAATAAGGTTAAAAAATATTCAGATCGTCCAATATTTACTGGTCTGACATTCTTATGGGCCATTCCTTAATTTTTTTTTTAATAACAGGAGCTAATAAAGTATCTTTTTTCTACCTTTCGAGAGTGAATGAAATTTATACTTTATGTAACCTGCTAATCTCAAAACTGAAAGTTTGTCTAGAGTACTTTTTATTTTCAATGACTACTATTATAGTTAGTGGTAGAACCATGGACAATTATCATTACACATGAAAGTAAATTTATTTGCACATTCAAATATTTATTGACCATCTACTTTGTACATCATTAGATGTTAAAGACATAGCTGTGAATAAAAACAACAAAATCATGGCTCTCATGAGGCTAACATTCGCATGAAATAGCAAATCAGATATATTCAACCAGCTTTGATATATCTCTATAATTAGTATAAAATGTAAGATTTCTGGGAAGAATTGAAGCTGAGTATTATAGTAAAGATAAGTTGAAACACCCTTATGAGTAAGACAAATGCTTCAGACTTGCCACTTTGTTAGCAGCAATGGCCACAGTCGCCAAACTGTGGAAAGAACCAAGATGCCCTTCAACGGACGAATGGATAAGGAAGATGTGGTCCATATACGTTATGGAGTATTATGCCTCCATCAGAAAGGATGAATACCCAAATTTTGTATCAACATAGACGGGACTGGAAGAGATTATGCTGAGTGAAATAAGTCAAGTAGAGAGAGTCAATTATCATATGGTTTCACTTATTTGTGGAGCATAAGAAATAACACGGACGACATGGGGAGAGATAGAGAGGAGATGGGAGTTGGGGGAAACTGGAGGGGGAGACAAACCATGAGAGACTATGGACTTTGAAAAACAATATGAGGGTTTTGAAGGGGTGGGGGATGGGAGTTTGGGTGCGCGTGGTGGTGGGCATTATGGAGGGCACGTATTGTATGGAACACTGGGTGTGGTGCATAAACAATGAATTCTGGTACACTGAAAAGAAATTTAAAAAATTTTTAAAAAGACAAGTATATCTCACTGTGATTGTGTACTTTAATACATCACATATATTCAGGCTAAAAAAAAATTAAGAAAGCAAAATAGATTTAGTAGTCTTTACTTAAATGAGAAGTCACATAAAGTTTAAGTTGCACCAGTCACTTTTTATTTTGTATAGAATAGTACAGAATGGGCTAAGATGATTTTCATGTGTATTTATTTTAAGCCACAGTGAAACAGGCAACTGTCTGAGGAATGCAACTTTAGATTCTTTCAAGAGTTTGTATTTAACTGCATTCTTAGCAAATCTCGGATTGTGTTCTTCCCCAATTACAAACTTTATACCTCACTAATAGCCAATATTAGTAAGGAATTATGCAACATACTGCATCAGATTTGTTTTATTTTCTGTCAAATGAGGCATTAAGAATAGTATTGCTAGAGTTTGGAGCACTTCTTTTTCAGAATAGAAAGCACAAACGAAATATGCTTTATAATCTACCTTTTAAATAAATACCTGACTTCTAGAATTTTATACACTGTTTTTTTTTGTACACTCATTTTTAACATAAAGAAATCCTAACCTTTAGAGAGGTGGCAGGTTAAGCAGGGTCTAAAGAAGGTAAACCAAACTTAAATATCTCCCATAGCTCTAATATTTCTAGCAAAGAACTCAAACAGCATTCTCACAGATGTTTCACATTCTAGAGAATAAAACTTACAAAAGAAATAGTTAGAAAACTGCTTCTTGATAAAGTTGCAATTGTTTCTGACAAACTGACAAAGAAAGCTGAGACCCACACTATGTAAGAATTCTATGTTGCTCATTTGACTGTTGAAAGATTTAGGGAAAGTTATTTAATTCCTTTCAGCTTTAATTCTGCTGTATTAAATTAGCATAATAACAGATGACTTGCTTGCCAAATCAAGTAAAAAATATGTATCAGATGGTTTTTTAAACTTATGACAGTTGTAACAATATAAAGTGAAAAATAATGATTGAATCACATATGCTGGTTTTCAACTTCCCTTAGTAAAGAAATTAGTCTGAATTTAACTGTAATTATTTTATTTGTATGACCTTTAGATTGTTAATAAATATGAAAAAAAGATTGTGTCTTCCTGAAGAATCATGTAACCTCCTGAAGCCTCAGTTTTTTCACACTTACAAAATGAGAACAAATATATATGCCCCAGGATTGATTGAAGTATTATTCAAGTCAATGCATATAAGTGCTATTAGCTTTTTTATAACCAAATGAACCATAAAGTATTAAGGAGAAAGATATGAAACCTAATGTAAGAAATACAAATTCAAAGATAACTAATAAAAAAAGCATATTTACATGAAACTATAGAGAGACAGAAATATACACACATGTGTACATACACATACCCCAGATTTGGTATAAAATTCTATAAGAATAAATGATTTAATGATCTGTCTTGAAAGTCAGACCTAAAGCTTCAAGACTCCTAAATGACAAAGCATAAGGGAATTAAAAAGTACTTACTTCTGCCACACAACGTAGATAATTTCCCTGTAAATAGTACCCTTGTTTAGAAGGTAGTTCATCAATACTCCACACCTGATCTGAATAACTATCATGTTCTTCCATTATGTATTTCCCTGACATAGTAACAGGAGGAAGGTTGAGACTGGCAGAAGGAGGAATGGTTGACATATCTGTGGCAGAAACTTTTGAAGTAAAACGTAATCTGTGATTTGGCAGCTCAAATGTAAACCTGGTCTGTGCACCTGTAAGACATAAGAAAAGTTACTGTTTGTTCAGTGCTCATTCACTCCTTTGTTCAAAAAATGATTTCTAAAAAATGCATACATATCCCAAATAAAACAAATCCTTATATATACGTATGGGTACGATAGTCAGTATTATTAAGCCAGCAAGTATTATTTATTAAGCCTACAAAGTGCCAGAGAAACACCTACTAATGTTCTTTATTTCACAGAAGGTAGAACAGAAAGAAACTGTCCTTATCACAGAAGAGTTATAACAAGAGAAATTAAGTGTAAAAAAAATTCTCATCCAGAGTAAGATGGAGGAGAAGTAGCAGACTGAGACTACTTCAGGTAGCAGCAGATCAGCTAGATAGCTTATCTAAAGATTGCAAACACCTACAAATCCAACGGGAGATAGAAGAGAAGAAGAACAGCAATTCTAGAAACAGAAAATCAACCACTTTCTGAAAGGTAAGACTGGCGGAGAAGTGAAACCAAAGCGACGGGAAGATAGACCGTGGGGGGAGGGACCGGCTCCCCGCAAGTGGTGGAGCAACGGAGCACAAAATCAGGACTTTTAAAAGTCTGTTCCGCTGAGGGACATCGCTCCAGAGGCTAAACCAGGGTGAAGCCCATGCGGGGGCAGCGTGGCCTCAGGTCCCGCAGGGTCACAGAAAGATCGGGGGTGTCTGAGTGTCGCAGAGCTTACAGGTATTAGAACGGGGAAGCCGGCTACAGAGACAGAGCCGAGGAGTGAGCTCTAAGCTCGGGGTTACCTTGAACCGGTCGCAGGCTCGGTCACCTCGGAGCGCGGCCCGAGGCCAGGGTGACGGGAGTAATTGGGCGCTGTTCTCTGAGGGCGCACTGAGGAGTGGGACCCTGGGCTCTCGGCTCCTCCGGGCCGGAGACTAGGAGGCCGCCATCTTCATTCCCGACCTATGGAACTCTACGGAAAGTGCTCAGGGAACAAAAGCTCCCGAAAGCAAACCCGAGCGGATTACTCAGCCCGGCCCCTGGTAAGGGCGGTGCAACTCCGCCTGGGGCAAAGACACTTGAGAATCACTACAACAGGCCCCTCCCCCAGAAGATCAACAAGAAACCCAGCCAGGACCACGTTCACCTACCAAGGAGTGCAGTTTCAATACCAAGGAGAGCAGCGGAATTCCAGAGGAGGAGAAAGCAAAGGACGGAACTCATGGCTTTCTCCCCATGATTCTTTAGCCTTGCAGTTAATTTAATTTTTTTTTCTTTTTCTTTTTCAATTTTTTTTTCTCTTCTTCTGCTAAATTTTTTTTAACTTTTACCCTTTTCTTTTTTAACGTTTTTTAACTAGTTTATCTAATATATATATATATTTTTTCTTTTTTATATTTTTTCTTTATTCTTTTTTTTAATTGTTTCTTTTTATCCCCTCTTTTTATCCCCTTTCTCCCCCCTCACGATTTGGGATCTCTTCTGATTTGGTTAAAGCATATTTTCCTGGGGTTGTTGCCACCCTTTTAGTATTTTACTTGCTCCTTCATATACTCTTATCTGCACAAAATGACAAGGCAGAAAAATTCAGCACAAAAAAAAGAACAAGAGGCAGTACCAAAGGCTAGGGACCTAATCAAAACAGACATTGGTAATATGTCAGATCTAGAGTTCAGAATGACGATTCTCAAGGTTCTAGCCGGGCTCAAAAAAGGCATGGAAGATATTAGAGAAACCCTCTCGGGAGATATAAAAGCCCTTTCTGGAGAAATAAAAGAACTAAAATCTAACCAAGTTGAAATCAAAAAAGCTATTAATGAGATGCAATAAAAAATGGAGGCTCTCACTGCTAGGATAAATGAGGCAGAAGAAAGAATTAGTGATATAGAAGACCAAATGGCAGAGAATAAAGAAGCTGAGCAAAAGAGGGACAAACAGCTACTGGACCACGAGGGGAGAATTTGAGAGATAAGTGACACCATAAGATGAAACAACATTAGAATAATTGGGATTCCAGAAGAAGAAGAAAGAGAGAGGGGAGCAGAAGGTATACTGGAGAGAATTATTGGAGAGAATTTACCCAATATGGCAAAGGGAACAAGCATCAAAATCCAGGAGGTCCAGAGAACCCCCCTCAAAATCAATAAGAATAGGTCCACACCCCATCACCTAATAGTAAAATTTACAAGTCTTAATGACAAAGAAAATCCTGAAAGCAGCCCGGGAAAAGAAGTCTGTAACATACAATGGTAAAAATATTAGATTGGCAGCAGACTTATCCACAGAGACCTGGCAGGCCAGAAAGAGCTGGCATGATATATTCAGAGCACTAAACGAGAAAAACATGCAGCCAAGAATACTATATCCAGCTAGGCTATCATTGAAAATAGAAGGAGAGATTAAAAGTTTCCAGGACAAACAAACACTGAAAGAATTTGCAAATACCAAACCAGCTCTACAGGAAATATTGAAAGGGGTCCTCTAAGCAAAGAGAGACCCTAAAAGTAGTAGATCAGAAAGGAGCAGAGACAATATACAATAACAGTCACCTTACAGGCAATACAGTGGCACTAAATTTATATCTCTCAATAGTTACCCTGAATGTTAACTGGCTAAATGCCCCAAGCAAAAGACACAGGGTATCAGAATGGATAAAAAAACAAAACCCATCTATATGTTGCCTACAAGAAACTCATTTTAGACCCGAAGACACCTCCAGATTTAAAGTGAGGGGGTGGAAAAGCATTTACCATGCTAATGGACATCAGAAGAAAGCAGGAGTGGCAATCCTTATATCAGATCAATTAGATTTTAAGCCAAAGGCTATAATAAGAGATGAGGAAGGACACTATATCATACTCAAAGGATCTGTCCAACAAGAAGATCTAACAATTTTAAATATCTATGCCCCTAACGTGGGAGCAGCCAACTATATAAACCAATTACTGACAAAATCAAAGAAACACATCAGCAATAATACAATAATCGTAGGGGACTTTAACACTCCCCTCACTGAAATGGACAGATCATCCAAGCAAAAGATCAACAAGGAAATCAAGGCCTTAAATGACACACTGGACCAGATGGACATCACAGATATATTCAGAACATTTCATCCCAAAGCAACAGAATACACATTCTTCTCTAGTGCACATGGAACATTCTCCAGAATAGATCACATCCTGGGTCCTAAATCAGGTCTCAACCGGTATCAAAAGATTGGGATCATTCCCTGCATATATTCAGACCACAATGCTCTGAAGCTAGAACTCAATCACAAGAGGAAATTTGGAAAGAACCCAAATACATGGAGACTAAACAGCATCCTTCTAAAGAATGAATGGGTCAACCAGGAAATTAAAGAAGAATTGAAAAAATTCATGGAAACAAATGATAATGAAAACACAATGGTTCAGAATCTGTGGGACACAACAAAGACAGTCCTGAGAGGAAAATATATAGCGGTACAAGCCTTACTCAAGAAACAAGAAAGGTCTCAGGTACACAACCTAACCCTACACCTAAAGGAGCTGGAGAAAGAACAAGAAAGAAACCCTAAACCCAGCAGGAGAAGAGAAATCATAAAGATCAGAGCAGAAATCAATGAAATAGAAACCAAAAAAAACAATAGAACAAATCAACAAAACTAGGAGCTGGTTCTTTGAAAGAATTAATAAGATTGATAAACCCCTGGCCAGACTTATCAAAAAGAAAAGAGAAAGGACCCAAATAAATAAAATCATGAATGAAAGAGGAGAGATCACAACGAACACCAAAGAAATACAGACAATTATAAGAACATACTATGAGCAACTCTACGCCAACAAATTTGACAATCTGGAAGAAATGGATGCGTTCCTAGAGACATATAAACTACCACAACTGAACCAGGAAGAAATAGCCTGAACAGACCCATAACCAGTAAGGAGATTGAAACAGTCATCAAAAATCTCCAAACAAACAAAAGCCCAAGGCCAGACGCCTTCCTGGGGGAATTCTACCAAACATTTAAAGAAGAACTAATTCCTATTCTCCTGAAACTGTTCCAAAAAATAGAAATGGAAGGAAAACTTCCAAACTCATTTTATGAGGCCAGCATCACCTTGATCCCAAAACCAGACAAGGATCCCATCAAAAAAGAGAACTACAGACCAATATCCTTGATGAACACAGATGCAAAAATTCTCGCCAAAATACTAGCCAATAGGATTCAACAGTACATTAAAAGGATTATTCACCACGACCAAGTGGGATTTATTCCAGGACTGCAAGGTTGGTTCAACATCCGCAAATCAATCAATGTGATACAACACATTAATAAAAGAAAGAGCAAGAACCATATGATACTCTCCATAGATGCTGAAAAGGCATTTGACAAAGTACAGCATCCCTTCCTGATCAAAACTCTTCAAAGTGTAGGGATAGAGGGCACATACCTCAATATTATCAAAGCCATCTATGACAAACCCACAGCAAATATCATTCTCAATGGAGAAAAACTGAAAGCTTTTCCGCTAAGGTCAGGAACACGGCAGGATGTCCATTATCACCACTACTATTCAACATAGTACTAGAAGTCCTAGCCTCAGCAATCAGACAACAAAAGGAAATTAAAGGCATCCAAATCGACAAAGAAGAAGTCAAACTGTCACTCTTTGCAGATGATATGATACTATATGTGGAAAACCCAAAAGACTCCACTCCAAAACTGCTAGAACTTGTACAGGAATTCAGTAAAGTGTCAGGATATAAAATCAATGCACAGAAATCAGTTGCATTTCTCTACACCAACAACAAGACAGAAGAAAGAGAAATTAAGGAGTCAATCCCATTTACAACTGCACCCAAAACGATTAGATACCTAGGAATAAACCTAACCAAAGAGGCTAAGAATCTATACTCAGAAAACTATAAAGTACTCATGAAAGAAATTGAGGAAGACACAAAGAAATGGAAAAATGTTCCATGCTCCTGGATTGGAAGAATAAATATTGTGAAAATGTCTATGCTACCTAAAGCTATCTACACATTTAATGCAATTCCTA